ACAATGAAGTCAAAGGTCCTGACAGACGAACGATCAGAGGTTTCATAATTTATGTTTGTGTCAGATTTCGTGATTAGAATGCCAGTGGGTGTAGGTACACCTCTCCTTCGCCAGACACAGTCAGGAGGGTGCATGGCACACGGTGGCATTTTTCTCGTGCGATCTGACCCAACAAAAATATAAATGATGGGTCATAATATTGGTTGCGATTGCCTAGTGTTAAAATTAGATGTTTGATTGACATGCCAGGATTGGCCAAGCGGCGAGAGCAGGACATAGGCAGACAGTGGGCAGGCTGGAAGATAATCTTGCCGGCAGCCAGACAACAACAAGAAAAATACACCTGATGTGAAATGGATTATGACCAGGTACGATACATGTGTGCATAGGCGGAGTTTGACTTCTAGATTTGGGGGGGGGGGGGAGGCACGGGTTCACTTTGCCCCTCACATTTGGAAGAGCGGGTGCAAATAAATAAATAACCAGGCTTTAATCTGTATTGTTAACGGCTGAAAGTAAATTAATAAAAAGTGTAAACATTTTTTTGGGCATTGCCCTTCCCGTGCGCCCCCCGCCCCAAGCTCCGCCCATGCGTGCAAGGCCATAAGTTCAAATCTCGCTCAGGGACTGACTCATGCCAATTTCACTCGAGGACTGATAAAATAAGCACCACCTCGGGGAGCACAACCAGTGCTTGTCCTGTGGAGAGACTGGCTCTGGCCATTAGAATGTGAGATTTTCACCTCTGGCTCAGGACAGCCAGTGAAGACACGCAATGTCCAACACTATTTTGAGTATTTGGGGGGGGGGGGAGGGGGCAGTTCCACTGACGTATTATTGCATTAATATCACTGCCTACCATCTATTGCATTTTATTGCATCTTGGGTAAGGATTTGTATATACTGTAGACTCTCGATTATCCGTGTTAATGACGGGGAGGACGGCCATGGATGATTCAAAAATATTAATTTTCCGTGGATCTCTATGCCAATAAACACTCATATAGGAGTACATTATATTTAAGTTACGTGACAACCCTTTCTCGTTGTCTGTGTCGGGTAGTGGCGGGTTTTAACGACACATATATTTACACGATGTTACCCAAAAACCTCTATTATGAATGATATTGGTCGCGAAAGCCTACGTGTTAAACTAAGAACATTGATTTTGTTAATAAACCAAACGAAAAATTGTAGTAAACAATGTATTGTTCTTGTCTTATTCCAAAAGTCCATAAAACACACACACACACACTTAAACAGGTTTTAAAAATCCTAAAATGGATTTCTGCTTCAATGAGCTAGCTTTTTGCGACTTGACGTTCTTAATCGACGCAATACCAATTTGTCAGAATGGAGCGCATCATCCTGTTGCTCCAAATAAGCAAGAAGATCCCTTGAGTTATTCATTTATGTCACAATCTCAGGTGCGCGGTTATTCCGCAAATCGGATAAACCGCACACGGATTGTAAAGTCAATCGACATCCTGTCAATTGACTTTACAAAACAGTGCTTGTTATGAAAATGTGGGTCACTTCATAGGTCACAAATAGCATGCTGTCCTTCACGCATTTTACAGTGAAAACAAAATGTTTGTGCTAGACAGACCTTAGGTGGGGACACGAAGATCAGAATGGTTAAATGTAGCAGACCTGCCTGTTTGCATCACTGAGATCATTACCGTCACGGACATTGTGCTGCAGCTATGTACCTCGAATGTAAAATATTGCAAAGCCTCCCCCCCATCAGCTCATACCTTTTGCTGTTATTATATTAATGTGTAGCCCCGTGTCAATCCACCATACAATGTCAATCGTCGGCGGGATGTTTGGGGGTGGCAAAGATTGGTTCAGATTTCACTCACCACTGATGCCAACTGAATAATTCAAATCGGTGCTGTGTATTTGTTGACACATCGCAGGAGGGATACGATGTGTCGCGCTGCACGCGCCTTTGACGATATTCCTTATTCGCCAAATTTCTATTCCTGGAAAAGTTTTTATTCCGCTGTGCCATCATGGCGATGTCGTTATGGTGCAATACATGCAGTTAGGGCAATTTATTTGTTTAAAAAGGGAACGTTTCTCCCTTAGGGGCCGTCCATAAGTGACGTCACGTAATTTTGGACGATTTTTGATCCCCCCCCCGCCCTCGTCACACGGCGTCACAAAAAGTCAGACCCCCCCCCCTCAAATATGACGTCACAAATCTCTGCCCCCCCCCCCCCCACCATATTTCCGTTTTGAAAATAAAACATGCTTCTAATCGCTTTAAACTATTGTCATTGTAGTGCGTATTTAATGTGGCGCTGCACTCTGATGTTGTAGGAGTGTTGTTATAACAATTCGTGTTGTTATAGCAATTCTATATTTATTTAAAGTTGCGCATTTTGATGTGACGTCACATTTCTCAAACCCCCCCTCGTCACACATCGTCACAAATGTCTGACCCCCCCCCCCCAGGTGCGTGACGTCATTTATGGACGGCCCCCTATTGAAATTTTAAATGATAATACATCATCTTCTTGGTTATTTCGATAAAGTCACGTAGAATGGAAATAAAATAATAATATTTTTTAAAATGTTGTTTTATTTTTATTACTTTATTTCCATCCTACGTGGTGACTTTACCGAAAGAACCAAGAAGATGAATCCCTGCAGTGACGAAAGCTTTAAATCGAAAATGATATTAAATCGTTCGTGATGACCTACCCACGTCTGGATGAAGGCCTCACCAAGCCGACGTGATCCCTCACTGTCTTGCGACGCCAAATTCGATCTCACTCCTGCACACGAGCTGATCTCATTTCTCCTTCTGAGCAGTGGTCATCCTCCTCGGTGCATTTTTTTCCTTTCTTTGGCTGCCATTCCATCACAATTCCTTTCACTGACCATCTTCCCTTCTCGCAACATGTCCTGTCCAAGCCTGCTTACTTTTCTTACTTTTCAGTTGACAATATGGTCTGATTGGAATTTGTTCTCTGATGCATGTGTTATTCTTTTAATCTGTCAATATAAAAATCCATGCACACGCATCTGGACGATTCTGTGAACACTGTTCAGCTTTTGTTAAATTTTCTTTGTCACTGTCCGTGTTTCTGATGCGTTTCATTGCAGGTAATACTCACTGATTAAAACTATATTCTTTTAGATGCATTTGTATATTTGCTAATTGTATTAAGTTGAGTTTCCCAAAAGCACTCCAATTTGCTCTCGTCCACCTTTTTTGTTCCATAATATTGTGGTTTACTTTCAATAACTGGGGCGCCACGGTGGCGAGATGTTAACTACCTTGCGTGGTATGCAGGAGGTCGTGGGGTCAATCTCGACCCTGACGCCTGCTGCTGTATATTTATTTGGAGTTTGCATGTTCACCCGGTGGTCGCATGGATTTTCCTCCGAGTCCCCCGGTTTTTCTCTCGACATTTAGAAACATGCATTTACAGTATTTGGCTGCTATAGATTTCCACGCAATAAGCCACTTCGTTGAGCTATCATTTGTGTGGCCAGGTCGCTTCTGGAAAAAGAGCTACATAGCTCAGTGGGCCTTATCTGGTAAAATAAAAATAGGTAACTGCTCTAGGTATTCATACTCTGAAGTGTTTTCCAGTTGTGGCCCTCTGACAGATATCTTATACAGTATCTATTATAAAATCCCGGCGTTCCGTGTGTCCGTTTGTCTGCTTGTCTATCAACTAAATTAAAAGAGCCTTTCAGAAGGCCTGAATCAAAAAGTTATAGAAAGTGAACCCCCCCCCCCCCCCCCTCCTAGATTTGGGGGTAAAATATTGATCCAACAGGCGAGGTGCCGAGACGCCTTCCGCAGGAGCTAGAATAGGGCGGCCGAAATTCGAGTTGATTCCACTGTCGCAGCACACAGCGAAGCGTTGTGGGTAGTTGAGGGCTTGACTGACAATCGAACGGTTCTAAGTTCAAATCGATGGTGTTCGTGAAACAAGGGTCGCTTTGTGGCAAGTCAGCAGTTGTCACACCATCGATGTCATAGGAAATGTGGAATCTCCCGAATTGGCTCAGGACCTCCGGCGTGGATAAAGCACCACTCAATTTCTTGAGTGGAATCCTTCTCTCTTTGACCTGCCTTGAATATATTTAACCACTCAAGCAATCGCTCTTCAAATGATACCTGGCCCGAGCATGAATGGAAATAACTGACCCGTGCGGAACGTAGGATTGGATGTGTTGAATGGGCTCTCATGGAAAATCACCGGTCTGTGTGTACCAGGGTGAGTCATGAGACTGTCAGACTGCTTTGTGCCTCTGCGCACTTATGTAAAAATCACGTGGGTTTTCGAATCGAGTGGCTCCCAGCATGGGCTCCATACGAAGACAAAAATCCCCCGTATAACCTTAACACACTGTTGGGGCAAGTGTTGTTAGCGAGTGCCTATGATGGCCGGCACGGCACACGGTCAACCCATGTATCGACTGAGTGCTACCATGGGAATGTGCAATTTATACAAGTGGCTCAGGTCTTCCAATGTAGAGTGAGTGCTCGCCCAATGTTTGAATGAACACGAAGGCACTTTAAGTTTTCATTACATTCATAGCAAAACATGTTTTAAAATGTATTAAAAGCCCGATGTCAACTGCTTAGGTGAAGATGTTTCCATGCCATATCATGAGGATTGCTAGACCTTATTTCACCAAATTTGTCCTTGCAGATTGATAAAGGTGGATGGGATTAGGTTTGGGATCAGTTCAGGTATCACTCACCACTGATGTCAACCGTGGCCAGGAATTTAACTCATGTCACCAGGTTCAGAGCTCAGTGAGCAACCATTTGGCCACTGCTCCACCGTGACTCATGTCAAATGTGACCTATTTCCTAGAAATGCCCCCTTCTACCAATAATATAACAAATGCATTTCACCTACAATTAAAGTATACTGTATACAACAACCATTCACTCGAGCACAAGCATATGTTTTATGACAATCTATTAATCGAATGCCAGTTACTTGTAAATTGACATATTTCAGTTATGTTTTTGTTTTCCGTTTTATTTTGGTACAAAGCCAGAAAGCAAAACTGTGCAATATTACATACACGCTGCTGACAATGTTGACGTTTTTTGAAATGTGTTGACAGATATTGTAACATTTGTTTCCAGGAGCTGCACGAAATAAATGCAAACAGGCTGAAGATGCAAATGATTCATTAGTCTGATGCACAGATTGTATTGTTACGATGTACATACATTGGAAGTGAGCACATTTTGTAAATATTTTCTTTAATAGAATGGGAATTTTTTTTTTCTAATTTGCAAAGGTATTTAAAAATGAGCAGTGGAACTGCAATTGTACGTGATGACCTTTAATAACAGGGCAATTAACCAAACGACGAGCACATCGATTCAATGTGATTACCAGACGAGATAATGCCCCCTCTGTTGATATGCCTCACTAACCAACCAAGCTGGTAAAAAATGTGCACATGAATAAGGCCCAATATGAAACAAAATAAATAATACATTGTTTATTAAATCACACATGATAATTTGATCGTATGTTTTCTGGCTAAGAACATATCTTCATGGAGCCTTTGCGAAATGAGTGACACATTTTCAATGCATTTTTTAATAGTATTTGTAACATTACACATTGTGCTTGGAGCTCCGGTGTTTGTGTGGTAACAGGAGTGTCTTTTAAAAAAAACATGTAATTGCCTGTCACTATTATGAAAAATAAGAATAGGTTTTACCCCTTTCTGGCAATAAAACAGGTGTGAAGATGTTCAAACACCAAATATAAACCTTTTGCAAGGAATTAAGTCTGCATTAACCACACGTACTTGTAGTGAACATGCAAACAAACATGCTCTGATAATTATATATACATTGTCTTTGAAACTGATTTACCTACACCAGAGACAGCATTCTGCCTTTCACTATTCATAGACGAAGGAGATGCTGGCTATATGTGAATGCTTTACTTTGGCACAAATGGTACTCTTGTGAATAACACACTTCCCGAATGAGCGATGTGGCTGCAGGTGGCACTGTTAATTGTTATTTGCAGGCAATGCCCCTTCACAGTGAGGAGCGCAGCAGTTCCACGGTACATCACAGCAAGTCCAATAAGACCCGAACGGCGTACGTTTGCATATATTTCATAAAGCTTCTACCACACCGCTATCTGGGCAAACATCAGTTCACGGTTGCAATTTTTTTTAAATACACTTTTTTCTGCAAACAAACAATTGTATTACCATTAATAGTCTTTGAAGATAAAATCATTTATTTTAATATCGTTACGTGCCAGCACAAGCATTGCCCATGTCAAGGTAAGGATACAGTCCATATTTTCTCATTCATAATTCAGTGCATGCAGTTAATGTACATTGTTTCACATCGTTATTAGGAATGTGCACCCAACTGGACTTGAACAATAGTGACTGACATAGGAATATGAACTGTCTGTAGCCCTTGGAAGCCTTCAAGGCATTCGAGCACAGTGAACAAAGACAATCTTAAGAAAGAAATTAATGTCGGGTTGTAAGAATTAATTGGATGGCAGATAGCTCTTACGGTGAATACAACACTATACTTAAGAAGGGAGCTCAAAGACAATCGGGAGGCAAGACCAATGATAACGTGCAATGGCGTTAACATGGGACATGATGCTCTATTGCCAGTAGAATTGTTGATACTGACTTGGAGAGAGGAGGCGTCATCGAGTGCTGTGTTTGACGGGCAGATTCTGGTTGTCCACGTTTGCGATGCCAGCTGCCACTCATCAGGACGGTAATTGGAATTGCTAATCCTGTACTACGGCAAATGTGTTTTGGATCTTTGAAATATGTGGTGTCCGTTATTAAATAGCATTTATATCACATTTACTTTGACTGCACCGGGAGAAGTATTAATTAATAACATTAACATTTTGGCTTAAAACTATGTTGGCTGATTTTTAGCATTTCGTACCACAATTATTAATCAAACATTAATTTAACAAAATAAATTTCAGTATAAATGAATCAAGGTATTTGATAAATCCAGGTCCTTGTTGCTGTAAATTAAGTCACCAAATTCGTTAAGACTGTTCATTCATCGATATCTGATTCGTATGTTTTATTTTATGCAATTGGTTATTAATATTTTTCCGACACTGTAAATATGGGCATCACATAATTTACCAAGTCAATTTAAATACAGCACAGCCTTCTTTATAATAAGGTGGTTGCTCAATTCGTCTGGTGGGCACACCCACATGGGGATGATTTGTTGAAATTATTCTGCCTCTAAATTATTAGAAATTGAAAGTGGCTTGGCCATTCCATTTGGAAGATGTTTGCCTTTTGTTCTGCAAGCTCACATGAGCGAGTCTGCCCCCTTTTTCCCGTGTCATTGGCACAATGTAATTCTGCAAATGAATAGGCAAACTCAATATAGTTGCAAGAGCATGCATGGAGAAGACAGCATGCCTCCCACCAACCATATTGGTTAATATCTGGCTGTCCTTACTTAAGGCTCCAGGTGTGTGTGTTTATATACATTCGTTCAGTAATACTATGCTATGCTAGCCATGGGCAAAGCGGTTATGGATGACAGGTTTGTATTGTAGTTTCGAAGTACGGTTCAAAGTAAAAATGCAGTTTAATTTTGATGTTGGCGAGTCTTTGGTGGCTTTTAAAAAGGTGTGCTGTGCTCCCGGCGGGGTTAAACTCAACTTGACCTCTCCGTGCATTTTTTCTCCATTCTTCACCGTGAGCCTTCTCAGTTCGTGTTTTCTTGGATGACATTGAATCTCTCCTTCAGACAGATCTGAAAGAAAATAAAGAGCAGATGTTGAAGCAATATTCGGGGACTTCTCTCCCCACCCCCTACAAGGGTGGCTAAACACCGACAGTCAAAAGAGCAAAGTCAAAAAGTCGTTCTCGTTTATATGAACAATAGGGTGGCCACTCATCTCTGTTTGTGGCCCTGGATCAGTAGTAAAAGCACACATTCCCATAGCCGGGGCCAGTCTCTCAATAGGACATATACAGTGGACTTTCCTGAAGTTGACCCTCAATAGGATTTGAACTCACAACCTACCAATGCTGATTCAAGCTTTACAGTTATATATGTGGGTTTATTACAGATTCATGTGAACAAACCCACATATATACGTTGTATACTTACAATGTAAATGCAGCACGTTATGGGATCTACTTGATGGGACATGTGCAAGCAGCTTCTGTTTGCGAGCACATTACAATGTCGCATATCGTACCAACACATGTCCACCCTAACCAAGGAACTGCCCACACCTCGTGGAGTATTTGTGCACGGTGCAAATGTCACTTTGTATAGATGTTCACAAATATGACCTCAGATACAGGGATGTATTCTTTAACTGGCATACATTTCTTTTATTCTGTAGTACAGGAAAGCATGTTCCCATATTTAAAGCAGCTCACACTTAATTTTGTCCAGTAACCTACTGATACACATTTAACATTTTAACATATACAGCAGTCCTCAGCGAGTCGGACATGCAATGTTGTTGTGTATGGACGGATGTGAAAGCTGTCTCATCACCTGGCATGCCGACGGCGAGGCCGAACCCACTCCTCTCGACACCTCTGGAAGGTCTGCTCCAATTCGGGACTCAGCTCCACTTTGTTGAAGTCGCTCGAGCAGAACGCAAGCCTGTGAATGCACGAAAGGTAGAGGCCCAATGTCTGGAAGGAGCACTAACCTGTGCTCTCAACCATTTTTGGTATGTCGGGTCGAAGTTTGATTTCAAACTCCAATTACCAGTAAAGTTGTACATAGCAACCAGTCATCAAACCCAGATCTGGCACGTCAGCCGCTCGCTCACCTCTGCTGCGTCTCGCCCGACTTGACGCGAATCTTGCGCAAGAGCAGCTGGTTCCCGTATTTGCCCTTTCCTTGCGCCCACGGCAGAATAACTTTCATCTGCTGCCAGACACTGCCCCAGGTGCTCGTCTTGTCCCAGCGTATGCGGATTTGCAGCAGATCTCCCACCTCCACGTCCGTCGTCACGAGGAATGAGTAGGTTCGGTTCGGACTGACCTTCTCTACCCTGGGGGTTCAGAGACGGTAGAAATTGTGTGGTCAATAACAGTGAACGATGTGATAGCCATTTTAAATGAGAGGGTTACCATGTGACTCTCTATTATTCGCCGTATACATACATCGGCGCGACTAATGTTTTGCGCACGTTAGGTAGTACCGGATTCTGCTCTGGCCCATGGACTACAGAGAACGTGGGTGATGTGACAGCAGCATCATTGTCACCGTCTTCCTCGAGATCATCACTCGCTGGATATGTACAGCCGTAAGCAGCTACGTTATTGACTCAGTTTATGGTAGTACTCTACTCAGCACGCATCACACTGGCTTTGAAATGAAAGTGGAATCTGGAATGATCGATGATCCGATGTGAATGGTGGGGGGGTGGGGGGGTAAGGGTGGGGGAGGAGGCAAATAAAAAATTGGCAGTGTATCCATATGCTCTTTGTTAGTACTCTCGGATACGGATACAAATATACATACCGTTTACAAAAGGTATCCCAATAACAAATCTGAATATATTGTAAGTGAGAAGAATGACACCTAAATAAAGTGAGTTACGTGAATATTTATGGCATATGGCACTGTTGAAAAGCGGCTCAATAAAAGTCAATGTTCACAGTTCATTTTCCACTTGATCAGTGCACACAAATGGGTCCCACAATACCTAGGCTCTGTGTCCTGTTCTGCAGAAGAACACTATGTGGTCATGTGCATGCACAGTCCTTTATCTAGTCCACTGCTTGATCAGGGCCAGTCGAATGCTACAGTATAGTCACACACAATGAAATCACTGCTTTAACATCAAATAAACAGGCTTAATACAAATATTAAAATCTCTCTGCCTCGAACAGTGTTCTTCATTGCAAGGCCCGCAGGCCACCGAAGACCCCTGGTGGCCTTAAGTCCGGACCCCGACAATACACGACAACGTGACAACACCCCCCCACCGTCATGCTGTCAAAGCCGACAATGGTTTCAAATGTGTGGCGGCCTTCACACTGATATCTTATTGGCAAAAGTGGCGCCCCTAAGAGAATTAGTGAAGAAAACTGGCCTAGAAGCTGTATCCGTTATACCATGTCAGATTTGTATTAGTAGATCACAGAGTAAGATGAAAATAATAATTTGACCAAGGTCAAGTTGAATGGTAAAAACGTGAACAAAATACACAACCAAACCCCACGAAAACATCTCTTGAGGATCGAAAGTCCTCCTTTGCTGCATTTGTCATGTTTGCACAGAATGTACACTGTACAATCACATGAAAGCTTCTACTAAGACGTGCATTTGCAGAATGCCCTGCAAGTACATGGTTGTTGATAACGGAAAAAAAGCGAGTCACTACGTTACTTATGAATGCCTAGCTGGTGCTGTGGTTAGAGAACTCGACTCACAATACACGATTACAACTCTGTGAATAAGAAAAAAAACAGGAACAGTGGTTGCCCTATGGAGAGACTGGCTACCACCATGTGAATGTGGAATTTCCATCACTTGCTCAGGGTAAAAAAAAAAAACAGATACGATTGCCCTCTGCGGTTTAAGTAGGGAGATTCAGATGTGACGAGTTTTTGTGTTGAATTAGCCACCGTGACACGAGGATCATTAATGTCGAAATTAAGGCATCGTAACCTTTGCGTAGGCATATTCCATTCACTACAGAATGGAACCTGCCATATGCTGTTGCTATTGCTACTAGGCCCATGCAGCTCTGGTATCGGTCAATTATTTAAATCAGTTAATTTTGCTACAGTCTACACTGGTGTAGGAGAGTCATGCATGCAACATCCCATGATGAATGCATAAACCTGTGAAATAATGTACGAATTAGTGAATGCTATAAAAAATGAACACATCAATTACTGTTAGCAGTGATCCCTGGGATTAGTATCGTGGTAATATTGTATTGACAAAGGGCTTTAAATTATCATTATATTGGCTTTACATTCATAGTTAAAGTGAAAGTGTACCAATGTTCAAAATAAACATAAGCAAGTACTCATTGCAGAGGTGGTGAAATATTCCACATTCCGGTTGCTCAGGATTCACCCCACCTGCTTCCCTGCATATAACACGAAACTATGAGCAAATATATCGACTGCAAAACAACTTTTCGCCTCTGTCGAGGACCCAGTAAAAATATTGAGCGATCGTCTTTAAACTCGCCGTGGATTAAGTTTAGAATAGAACCAGGAGGCGTTAGTCTTCTTTCGTACGGCTGATGTAGTCGATACAGAACAACAACGACAATTTCCCATTTAGGTGGTCAAGCCAGATAACTGCATCAGGAGTAGCGGAGTTGTATCGCAGGGATGTCTCCTTCGTATTTGTGGATCTGTAATTGTATCTTTATATGCTGTAAGGTCTGTTCTGGATTACCACAGTCGCGCACGGGAGAGTTTTACATTTTCCACTTGTGCATCATCACGTATACACATCTGCCATCGTTTGTGCTGGTGCGGTTTAGGGTGGACCATGAGCTTCGTGGAAGGTCAAACGTGACACTGATAATAACGAGCCGGACCTTCGAGTGGCACGAGCGGTCTGACCGCACGCTTGTTTATTTTTTTTTACAAAAAAACGTACGTGGACATTTTGAGGTCGTTTGCCTCTCCTTTGGTGCCAAAGAGCGAGACGCTCAGCGCCGGTTCCAAAAACTCCTCGACCTTCTCGGTGAGCCCCATCAAGTGGACCTTCAGCTGGTAGTGATAAACTGGGAGACAAGGAACAACATCGACGCACGTTATCGCAGACAGCTCGCACGTCGGAATTATAACACTAACATTGACAATTCTTAGCAATGCGTTCCAAAGCAAGTCACATAGTCGCTTCTTCGGCGCTAATATGCAGTTTAAGTAAACACAAAGAGGAATTCGGTTTGTTACGACAATGTTACTCTTCTTTCACGAATGTTGCAAAATATAATTGCAGAATGGTTACAAGTTGAACTGCTGTAACCCTGAGCTCAATAAAACATTCATTTTTTCAAAGTTGCAAATATGTAGGTACAATCATCGTTGTGTTTTGGGGCATAACATTGAATGTTTAGTCCACTCTCGAGAACACACTGTGATGTTTGCAAACGATATAACGTCAAAGGATACATGTCCTTGTGCTGTATACTATATACGCAGAATTTAATTCTGTATCTCCATAATACAACTCTTTTTAGTCTAGCTTTTTTGCTTTCCAGAGGAATATTAACAAGCAGCATTTGTTTAAGCAAACAAACCCGGGACCGGTTTTGACCTTCTGGGTCAAATCAGCATAGTCATGCATGTAAAACAAATGCGACTGGATTACAGGGTTTTATTGGCAAGAGGGCTCCATATAAACTGTGACCTCATTCAATTCACATCGCAGTTACAGTATCCTTAACAGTATATACGTGCAGCAGAAGCACACAGCCGCAACATGACGATGTGTTACCCCATCAGCCCCGGCGTAGTCTAGAACAAAATTAAATTCACTAAGCATGTTCTTGATTGATTATGACCATCATAAATGCATTGATTCCTGTGTGACACACAATATATTAATGACTGTACAGTGTATGCAAATTATATATCATACATTGGTGGCCAGTGGTTAGTGCACTGCATTATGAACTTGAGTTTAATTCCCGGCCACGGTCAACATCGGTGACGAGCGATATCTTATCGGGTCCTAGGTGGTCAGACGGCCGCATGGCTGACACGATGCAGGGGAATCCTTCATCCGGCGGTGGATCGACATCATTTTTTTTGACGAAATTTTATCACGTTAAGCGAGCAAACAAAACCTTACAAGTGAGACGAACTTTTTAAAAGAATACGGTACAGGTAGAACTAAACTAAGAAAATAAAACGTATTCTTGGATCAGTACACACATTTCTGAGTGGGTGACTGCATCACTACTTAATTGCCTTATACATGATTCGCATTGGACTAGGCATGAATCTTGCGGTCTCGAGTCCTCAACTCGCATTTCTAAAGGCTTGCCCTATAAAATCCCAGGCGGGGTTTCTACTCAGCCTATCATCTTTCCGTGGTGAGTAAAATGATGGGAAGTCCACAGCATTCACTCTCTACAGAAGCCCGTCCCCAGCCATTAACTTCAGGAAGTTTCTCAAGTGGCTCAGGGGGTGCCAGTCAAGGTTAGTTGCCACATTTGAGCAGGGTGACACCACAACTTTGGACTTGAATGCTAATTACGTCCAACCAATTACCAGCTAATGCACAGAGAGTGATGCACACAAGTAAGCTAGGTACCAATTTACTCTCATTTGAGTCAGTCTATTGTAATTGCATTAATGTGGCCCACTTCTGTAATGCACAGTGGATATTATTGTTATTTAAGCAGCTGCCATAAAAAAAAAACAATATTGCCTGCCTAGACGCAACAGAGATAGCTTGCCAGGGGGTGGTATGAGTATAGCAGAGCTTGTATTATTTACTGAGCATATACACGCAGCCGCATCTCCAGACGCTGTACATATTTGTGGGACATGTTTCATGGTGAAAAGGGATGCGTGTGTGTGTAGCGGTTATCTCACTGCACTGCGAACCCGACGACCCGAGTTTGATTCCCGCTCACTGCCAACACCGGTGACGATTATCTGAACCGGTCATGGGCCTCTCCCAGGTCGACTCAGCCTCAAATGAGTACCTGGTGCAGTGTGTAAAAATTATTGCCACTGGGGAGACATGATGCTGGCCACCCACCCCCTCGTGTACCGTGCCGGTCTTCATAGGTGCTCGCGAACAGCACTTACCCTAATGGACTGTTAACGCTATAGGGGGATCTTTGTCTTATTTTTATACTTTATATATACAAAAACATTAAATCAACAAAAACAGCCAAAGGCAGTAGAGTAGTACTGTACAGTGTTGGGAGATAACAATGACATTGCCTTAGACCATTTGTATTAGTGTTTCCCCACATATACCCTCGGCTGTACCTCTGATCTTATTGTTTATAGAGCAATAATCTACCTGAGAGCGTTAAAAGTGTTACTTTCCCAGGCCCTCTCCTCCCCCTCCCCATTGCCCATGGGTGTGGGGTAGGGAGTAGAGCCCTGGATCGGGTGAGGTTACCTGCGGGTGGCCCGCAGGAGCTCAATCGTTTTTACGGCTTGCCTCCGTTTAACTAAACTACTCAACTTTTTTTTTTACCAGATAAGGCCCACTGGGTGCAGGTCGGGTCATGTTCATTGCATCGTGTCCTCCACGCGCCCGGAACGACAATCTGTAAACACCACTGAGTTACGACCAGCTTTGCGGGTCACCCGCAGGTATCCGTGAGTATCCAACCTGATGAAGGGCTCCAGGGGGGAGGTAGGATGAAAGGTGTGGTGACACCAGGTACAGGGGAATTCAGACCCAAAGTATCTTACTGAGCAAACGAACACGGCGCATTGCTCATCCACATTAGTGGTCCTAAAGCAGTGGTGGAAATTCCACGTTCCTCTGGTTGTTCGTTAGTACAACCACTCTTGATTATCCACAGAGTGGTACTCATTTTATCAACCCTCGAGGCATTCTGGATTGAAATGACAGGCAATAAAAATATTATAATTAAATATTTGGCATGTAACAATTTACATGTAAAGCGATTTCTGATGTGGGGATGCATTTAGAAGCTATAAAACTAAATTGTACTGTCAACTGAAGGTTCCTGAGACATGCCACTTTAACAGTGCTCAGATCTGTGTGGGTGAGCATCACCATCATCACTTAATATTGATACCATGCCTCCTATGCTGTACATTTTGAGGTGCCCCAAAGCAGGAGCCCCCCCCCCCCCCCCGGTGACAGCTTTCCCTGTGAGGCACATTTTGAACACAGCACCAGGCTACAATTTACTCTGCCAATAGTGGATTGCTGCGCAGCTCGCTTGCCAACTGTGAGATTCATATGAATAGAAAGAAAAAAAAACATTCCTCCCCTCCCAAGCACAAATGAGTGACCCCAGTACACCCGACGTGGACGGCCAAGCAGATCCCAGCGGACGCACCCTTGAACGGCATCACGGCACTGGTGCGGAGGAAGAGCCTGTGGCTGCGCCTGGGCCGCACGCGCTCCACACCGTAGCCCATTCGGTTGCAGCGGTGTCCGCCGCAGCTGAGGCACATGCCGCGCTCAAATCGGCCCATGTCGGTGCAGCGATAGGCCACGCTCTGCTGGTCGGGGTGCAGCAGCGAGTCGATGAACAGGTGGATGGAGCGTTCGTGCTCACACTTCACAGTCTCCACGATGCCTGGGATGGGGGGGTGGGGGGTGGGGGGCGTGGTTGGGAAATTTGAAAAGATTCGCCACTAGAGCTACAGTGGTGATGATAGCAACAACGACAATCGAGCTCACGGAGCGCCGGTCATTACAATGAAAAGAAAGATTTCAAATGTCGTAGAATCATCACCATTGAATTGCATAACCAACGACTGAAAAGGGTAAATATGTCTTTTAAACCACAAATCCGTAAAAAAAACCACAAGAAGTACAAGTTCATAAAACGCATGGATGCACATTGAGTTCTTATTATATAGAACAATTCATGGAAGGTAGAGCATGGGCAGGCCTATATTGAAATAGAATATGTACAATATTTTGGGAATCATGGGACACTAACCACCTTCAACTCTGTAAAATCTTACCGCAATAATAATATTATTTCTATGTATACTCGGAGTTGGTTTAACCGAAAGTGTGACTAAAAAGTCAAAGTATCTCCGTGGTGACCCTGAGCTAGTAGTGTAAATTCCACTTTCTTATGGTAGAGACCAGTCTACCCACAATTGACATTCCACAAAGTGGTACTTTATAGTCCATGGAGAGAAAACGTGGCAATGTGGCACTCTGCGATGATGTCACATGGTTGATTTAAATTTCCACCGCGTAATTATTTTAAATGCCTAGTAAATCTCTGAACGAACCTAATTCCTTGACTGCTCTCTCTCCCAAAAATCAAATAGGATGTGCACAAAGTTAATGGCCTAGACAGAATGACTGAACCCACAGTGTGGCTCTGCTAGCATCTGCTTCCTCTGCAAATGAGGCAATGGTGCCCTCACAGAGTGTATTATAAATGTGCTAACAATATCGGTTTGGATTTCCTCAAGGATGCACTACATGGCAATATGTTGTTGATGATATTTATTGTTGCTTTCATCCGATAAACGGGACAACATGTTGTAATCCGTGGCTGTTAGATGATACAACCCCAAAGCTACAGTGGGGAAAAAGGTATTTGATCCCCTGCTGATTTTGTACGTTTGCCCACTGACAAAGAAATGATCAGTGTATAATTTTAATGGTAGGTTTATTTGAACAGTGAGAGACAGAATAACAACAACAAAATCCAGAAAAAATGCATGTCAAAAATGTTATAAGTTGATTTGCATTTTAATGAGGGAAATACGTATTTGACCCCCTCTCAATCAGAAAGATTTCTGGCTCCCAGGTGTCTTTTATACAGGTAACGAGCTGAGATTAGGAGCACACTCTTAAAGGGAGTGCTCCTAATCTCAGCTTGTTACCTGTATAAAAGGCACCTGTCCACAGAAGCAATCAATCAATCAGATTCCAAACTCTCCACCATGGCCAAGACCAAAGAGCTCTCCAAGAATGTCAGGGACAAGATTGTAGACCTACACAAGGCTGGAATGGGCTACAAGAACATTGCCAAGCAGCTTGGTGAGAAGGTGACAACAGTTGGTACGATTATTCGCAAATGGAAGAAACACAAAAGAATTGTCAATCTCCCTCGGCCTGGGGCTCCATGCAAGATCTCACCTCGTGGAGTTGCAATGATCATGAGAACGGTGAGGAATCAGCCCAGAACTACACGGGAGGATTTTGTCAATAATCTCAAGGCAGCTGGGACCATAGTTACCAATAAAACAACTGGTAACACACTACGCCGTGAAGGACTGAAATCCTGCAGTGCCCGCAAGGTCCCCCTGCTTAAGAAAGCACATATACATGCCCGTCTGAAGTTTGCCAATGAACATCTGAATTATTCAGAGGACAACTGGGTGAAAGTGTTGTGGTCACATGAGACCAAAATGGAGCTCTTTGGCATCAACTCAACTCGCTGTGTTTGGAGGAGGAGGAGGAATGCTGCCTATGATCCCAAGAACACCATCCCCACTGTCAAACATGGAGGTGGAAACATTATGTTTTGGGGGTGTTTTTCTGCTAAGGGGACAGGACAACTTCACCGCATCAAAGGGACATGGGACGGGGCCATGTACCGTCAAATCTTGGGTGAGAACCTCCTTCCCTCAGCCAGGGCATTGAAAATGGGTCGTGGATGGGTATTCTAGCATGACAATGACCCAAAACACACGGCCAAGGCAACAAAGGAGTGGCTCAAGAAGAAGCACATTAAGGTCCTGGAGTGGCCTAGCCAGTCTCCAGACCTTAATCCCATAGAAAATCTGTGGAGAGAGCTGAAGGTTCGAGTTGCCAAACGTCAGCCTCGAAACCTTAATGATTTGGAGAAGATCTGCAAAGAGGAGTGGGACAAAATCCCTCCTGAGATGTGTGCAAACCTGGTGGCCAACTACAAGAAACGTCTGACCTCTGTGATTGTCAACAAGGGTTTTGCCACCAAGTACTAAGTTATGTTTTGCAAAAGGGTCAAATACTTATTTCCCTCATTAAAATGCAAATCAATTTATAACATTTTTGACATGCGTTTTTCTAGATTTTTTTGCTGTTATTCTGTCTCTCACTTTCAAATAAAGCTACCATTAAAATTATAGACTGATCATTTCTTTGTCAGTGGGCAAACGTACAAAATCAGCAGGGGATCAAATACTTTTTTCCCTCACTGTATGTTACGCAACCATCATGAGACTCTCAGTGGTCAGACAAACATTTTTAAATAACACATTAAACTTTCGCCTCAATTAAATTTGAGATACAATCTTAGTTTTGCATTGAGTGTTCTTGGCAATAACAACTGGTAATCTAGCAGCATTTGTTTAACAAGCCTCTCTCTCATGAAGAGGCCCAGAAATGTCAAAACTGATCCAGAGTTTGCTTTTCCTAAACCAGTGCTGCTTAATACTGTTGGGTTAAGCCAATATAAGCAGATTCACTGACTCTTTTATTTATTTTTAGATGGAGACACAAAAAATAACTGTTTATAGTTGAATTCCAGATTGCCCATGCAATGTGTTGCTGTGTCTCACATTTAGCATTACAAGCCTACTTTTGCTATTACAATGCGCAATTTGTACCATTCAATCTTGATTTGAAGCTTTCGTGACCGCAGGAATCCATTCTCTTTGGTTCTTTCGGTAATGTCACGTAACTACGCGACTTTACTACGCGACTTTACTTTACCTTAAGAAACAAAAGGTGTGTGTACCTTTCACTCCAGCTAGGTGGTGCTACCAGTTTGACTCACAAATGGAAGGTTGCAAGATGAAATCTTGGTCAGGTCTTGACTCAGCCCCATCATCCCTACCAGGGTTGATAGCATGTAGAAAGCCAACGGAGGTTGGACTATGGACAGACTGGCTCGCCTTATCGAAGGAATGTGAAATGTGTGGGAAGGGATTCATCCAGCAGTGGATGGATCATGGCTAATGATAGCAATAGCCCTAGATTGAAAATATGCAATACATAATGATAAATAATGATTCTGGTTTAAAAACAACAGCAATGCAGCAAGCAAAGGCACGGTGGCACCGGCGTACCCATGAATCCCAGGTCGGCGATGTTCTTGTAGGCGTTGGTGAACACGCAGCCCGGCTGGAAGTGGCCTCCGTTGGGGTAGAAGTCGGCGTGAGCCACAGGCTGCTGGATGCCGATGCTGAGCCCCAGGGTGCCCCGCGTGAACGTGTGCACTGCGTCCACGAAGTGCGCGTCGTTCGGGGACAGCCGCTCGTCGTCGAGCATTCCCTCGAAGGCCGGCCCCGCCGGGTCCAGGCCTGTGGATGGTGCAGAGCGTGGAGTTGCGAAAGCTGCACGTTAAAGTAAAAGATCAAATGTGCGGCCCTAAAACTGTTTGCTCGCGCAACTGCTGGCTGGAGGGCCTCCACTGGAGGGAGCTCTGCGGAGACCCCTCTTGAGGATATTTTGGGCTACTCTGGCGAGCTGGCCAGATGTCTTCAAAGACATGGGAATATGCTCAAGAATACATTGCTATATGTGAAAATGTTGAACCATCTATTGATGTGAACATTTATGGAAATGACAGCTACACCATTCACACATACAGGTATCCCTCGATTTACGAAAGGGTCTCCTCTCTGTTTGAGAGGAGACCTGATGGCTCATTGGGGCATTCTGTCTACAGGAAACCCACCCACACAGATTCCTACTTGAAACCTGATTCCCACCACCCAGCTCAAAATAATTATCTCATCAAAACGTTATACCACAGGGCCCATTGCATTTCGGACCAACACCACCTGACCAGTGAATTAAAACATGTACATTTGGCCCTCAAGAGGAACGGATACTCTGACCGTACCATCTGCCAAGCTGTTTCTCCCTCCATACAGAAACAACCACTTGATACTCCGGTCAAGACCATCACACTACCATATATAGCAGGCGTTACTAAAAAGATCTCCAAAATTCTAAACAAATACAAGATCCTGGTCCAGTTCAATGCAGTACACAAAATCCGTGACCTGATCCCATCCGTGAAGGATGTCATTCCGGACTTACAGTACCCCGGGGTTTATAAATTGAGCTGCACTCGTGGTGATTGCTATATCAAGGAGACGAAGCGACATGTCTCTGACCGAATTCGCGAGCACAAATCAGATTTGAAACACGGCAGAACGAATTCTTCTGCCGTGGCTGACCACTGTTACAACGCTGTGGGTGATCACGATATAGTGTTCTCCGATACCCAGGTCCTTTGCAAACCCACAGGTTATCATCAGAGATTTGTACACGAGGCAATTCAGATTTACAAACACAGACACAATTTCAACCGAGAAGACGGTTTCAAATTAAGCAATCATTGGAAAGATGTTCTAAATCATACCAAACATTAAACTAATTTCAATGGTACAGTATATTTATCCAAGTAGTGATATACCAAACTTTCACAGCAGCTTATTTCCCTTCAAGACAACGTTTGCATTGTCAAATTCCTTTCCCCCTCCCCCCTCCCCCGTGTTAAGTGTTATATCAGCACTTTAAGTGTTCCATCAGCACTTTAGGCTAATTCCTTTGTCAAAGCGCGTGGTTTCCTCCCACACAGCTTAAAGGACGCGACCTGGCTTGACTTTCTTTATTCCAACGCTGTCTTCGTGACAGCACGGTCCCCTTCACCTGATGAAGGCCACTTGTGTTGTGGCCGAAACGTCGTGATTTTTGCTGTTTTATTTTTTACCTACGTGACTTTACCGAATAGAGCTGAAACACAATTCCCCAACCCCCCAAATCTACATTACGTTAGCAAGCAACTATTTGTGCATATTTTTTTTATAACAGCATTGATACTACAAACACCACCAATTATATATGGTCTCACGCAGTATTGGCATGTGGAAAGTGTTATTAAGTGGCAGCATATGTTTGTGTGGCAAAATATGAAGTGATATTTGTGTTTACAAGATATGTATTACCTTGTTCAGAAAATTCCCAATGAGTTTCATCCTAAGCATCATTTTGCTTGGGATTTCGATTTTTATACATGGGAATAAACCAGGGTGCCCAGAGAAAAAACACTCAAGACTCCGTGGAGATCAAATAATGATTTGATAATTATTATAATTAACCGAATTGCTGTACTGATTTATACTGGCACCTTGCTAATGCTGCATATGTTGGTGCTTTAGAGCTCAGACAACCTAAGTAACAGCTCTGTGCAGCACATATAATTAAAGCAGTCAGTGGTATTTAACGTTAATAGCTCACGTTTGTATGCCTAGCTACATCTGACTTTCGAGCAACACTGAGCTTGGCAACCCCACCTCAGTCACAGTCCTTTAAAGCCATGAAATATCGTGTCCATGTTATAAATTGCATTACTATAATATGTGTCAATATTTATACATTATGTGATGTGTAGGTTTTCAGTATTTAACCAAACAGTAATTAATAAGCCACATTCCTTTGACAGGGGTGAGTATATACAGAGGTTAGCCAGGCACTGAAGCGCTGTCGTCCCGACAGTTCTGTTCCTTCACCTGAAGAAGGCTACTTGTGTTGTGGCCGAAACGTCGTGAGAATTTTATTGTCTTATTTTGTTTTATTGTTTTATTCTCAGTCTACGTGACTTTACCGAAAGAACCAAGAAGAGGTTAGCCAGTGTTGAGTTTCCACAAAGTAATTCCCATCTTGTCCACCCTGAAAGTATGGATAAAATGTTCCATTGAGTCTTGATGCTTATTCAGCCTTTCTTGAGTAAGAGGAAAAGACAACCACTGCAGAAATGTTATCATGTAAAAGAGTGCAGAAAGAGTTGCTGGTCATTGAGATGGTTCCTTTATCAATGTGTCAAACAGGAGTATCATCAGACAGCCTTACCAGTAATTCGGCCGATTTTGCCAGGACTTGTGATGAAGCTGCCAGCAAATCCGGCGACATGAGCACCAAGGCTGTACCCTAGGAAGTGTATTTTCTCCAGCGACACGTTGGTCTGCTTCTGTGTAAAAGCCAGCGCATGGCGATCAAATAATCCATGCGCACACACAGACAAACACACGGCAGCATGAGTACAGACTACGGAGCATCACATCTCAGTCAACGAGTGGGCCATTTTGACATTTCACAAATGCTCCACTGCCATTGGGAAAACCACATAGCTAGAGGTGTCAAGGTTCACAATGAGACAATTACAAACTGCTGATGAGAATTGTCTCTGTAAGGGGCCCTGCAATAGGTGGCATTGTAAAATTCAAATCAGAATGTCACATTGACATCCAACATAAAACTTGTAGGGGGTAGGATGGGAAAAAAGCATATATATGGGGCCCCTGATGCCTCTGCTTCCACTGCTTATTGTGAATTGGCAGGAATCTATGGCAAAGCAAGTTGCCAGCTTTATTTGTAACTTGGCATCAAAAGTGAGCATATAATGGGGAATTGCGCTGTAACCAGAGAGTAAAATAAAAGAATGTTGATTCTTCATCAAAATTTCAGAGTCACTGATTATGGTGGCAAAAGGAAGTCAAAGTCAGCCAATGCTCAAATAAGCAATTGGGTGATGCTAATCTCGATTGGGTGGCCCCAAGACAACGAGTAGTAATCCCACATTTCTATGGTAGGAGCCAGTCTCTCCATAAAAGTATTACTTAATTCATGACATAAGCTGCAGAAGCGCATTACTCGAGTTTCATGTGGAAACTTACCCCCCCCCCCCCCCCTTGAATATTTCAGTCTCAAGTAAAGTACAGAGATGGGTTCATTGAATAACTGCGCTTGATATATTCCTCCTCAAACTGAAGCAAAGAGCGACCACTGAACACAGATACAGGTATGTATAAATGATAATTAATTCGTGAATGCCTATCCATGATAACACTATTTTGAAATAAATAACTGAATAAAACATTTCTAATAAGTTTCCAAATGCCAAGCGTCAGGGCTTATGTATAGTGATTTTTTTGCACAATTTCAAAACACGTCGATGGCAACATAAAATGAGATCTGTAGCGGTAGCTGATATTTGTGTAATCACTCCCCTGGTGATATGTTGAGTCATGGTTTGGCATTACGATTCAGTTAAAGAATGAATCGTTTTATTAGTTTAACACGTAGGCTTTCGCGACCAATATCATCCATAACGTAGGTGTTTTTTCGGGTTAGATTGTGTAAATATAAATGTGTCGTTAAACCCGCCACCACCCGACACAGCCAATTAGTAAGGTTTGTCACGTTAACAGCACATGCCGATTCGTTACTAGTACAGCACATCGGTGTGTTGGAGAGCAAATCCACAACAATTATAATCTGAGTACGTTTCCCCAGTAATTGCAACTAGCATTATGAGGCGGACAAAAAAACAAACCTAGAATGTTTTATTGTAATGTTTCCAATTTTTAACGAGTCCCTTCAACAGTTTTGTTTACTCTCTTACCCTAAATGTAACGTTACGTAACATTCATAATGCGCTATGAAGGAGGGCCATTGCCCAACATTTTTCCTATGAAGGCCGCAGCGTTGTTGACGAACGTGTTGAGTTTTTTGATAATTGTTCTTGTGTCCCACTGCCAATGTAGTATCGCCAAATAATTTTGTCCAATTGTAGCATTCGCGTTTCATCTGCATGTAGGTAGCAAAAATTATATTGTCGCGCGCACAATGTGATGCGCGACCACTGTAAATAAACATTGATTGCAATCGATGATGAATTAATGCATCGTTACACACCCAGTAGCCCTCATCAAATGCTACAGAGCGGTCGCCAGCATTGCAAGTTTAAATGACAAATGTGCAACTAGTTAGAACTACAGTGGCCGTGTGCCATATCATTGCAAAGGCCATGACGGGTCAGCTCAGCAGGAAAATGTGTTGTGACACCCTCAGTCAGTGTCTGCACGTTCTCTCACAGTCACATGCATGGTTCGTGAACTTCACGTTATGACCTTTAATGTGATTTATTCTTTGCACAGCTGTGAAAGAATGACACAATGTCATACCAGAGCCAAACCAAATCCACACACAAGATGAGGCAGACTCTCATATTAACCTCAATTGTAACCACTCAGCCGTTCACGATTCCAGTACCATAATTATATTTTATTAAGCTTTATTAAGCACGTAATGATGCACAGTTCGATCGATTAATACCGATTCTCAAAGATTGTCAAACAAGGCACGGAATCGTGTGTGAGAGAATCAGTCATGTGATTTATGCATATGACAGTATATGCGAAATGCAAGCTGTTATCCTTATGTGAATGGAGTTAACAAAATTGCACAACTGCGACGGGAATTATTTTTGTTAGAAAAAAACCACGAACTCAACAGCGGAAATTGGACAAAAAAAATCATGATGTTTAATTGAATCGCGACCCTGAATCATGGTAACTCACTGCTATGAGGACGTCTTGTCGCACGCTATAGTTGTTATCTAATCACAAAACCCAAGGCTGTCCATGTACTGTTTCTGACTATTCCCTCTGTTGAAACAAAGATTAAACAACGAGCTCTTTTCTGTTGAATATGAACCCATCAAATCAAGAATGAACTCATGACTCACTGTTTGGCGAGTTGAGCACTCCCCTAAGAGTGACATAGCTCGATTGATTTACGCATGGCCTCAATTTATACTCACTCTAGCCTGTTGTAAGATACCCTTTTGGAGGAGCCATCTATGGAGCTAATCCCTTTACTTACATCGATATTGGCAATAGTGTGGCTGAGTGACAATAATTTGATGAGGACAAAATGCGTAATGTCTTTTAAAATAAACTCATTAATTGATGTGTTTTAATTGCAGTAATACAATCATCACCATGAACACCTTTTTTACGTGCAACTCACATATTGTCTCATATATTGTCTCAAGTTTCTTGTGGATGTCACATCTATGCCTATACATTCCTATGGGTTCAATAAAATTAGTGCAATTTTGTGGAAACTCGACAGTGGATGTCCGGAGGAGAAACTGGGTCCTACTATAGGAATGTGGAATTTCCACCACAGGGAATAAAGTGCCAGCCCAATTGCTCATTATCACGTGGAGTACATGTACAGTCCTTTGTTGATTTCACTTCTGGATGAGGACCAACCCTACACTGTGCAGGTCATGAAGGTTACGTGGCCATACTTCACCATACTGGTCAGTGTGCGGAGCATAGACACAGCAGCATGTGAATACAGTGCAACAACGGATGTTGCTGCACTGCCCCCGAAGCAGCCTATAACACCTGCTACGCACTAGAGTTGACGTTCGAAGTGGACCGCGACCCTCAGGCGCCACCCTCCGGCGGGTCACCACCCTTGACACGTGGGGTCAAACAAATCACCCGATCGAGACAGCGGTATGGCAGCAAGAGCCGTCTGTGCGGATGCCGTCGCAAGAGGTCACACGTTGCGTGAACAAATGAATGCACGGTGCTCGGCCCATCCAAGCAAGCGCCATCCAGGCTCAAACTTGCCGAATGAAGAGGACCCCCCCCTACCCCCCGCGGCAATTCCATCGCTGTCGAGTTATTCTGTGAAAGTACACAGCAGCAGGAGACACCACGGGTGGGTGGACTCATGCCCCCTCCCTCCCTGCGTGCAGCAGGTAGCTCACGTGCAGCCAGTCGACGAAGGCGGCGATGTCCTTGCCCACGACGCGCGTGTTCTGCACGGCCAGCGGGTAGTGAAGCCGTGAGCGCCCCAGCCACTCCACCACCACCACGTTGGCGCTCTGGTCGTTGTTGTAGAGCGCCACGGCCAGCTTGGGCACCCACGGCTCCAGCACGCCGCTCATCTGGTGACCAGACAGCGGAAGATCACAGAACCGTCAAGATAAAGGGTCTTCAAACGAGCCCCCCCTCCCCCCCCCGGGGGGCTCACACACCAGACTCATATTGACAGGGGCCGGTACTGGCCCGTACTTACTCAAGGCTCAACACGCCGATTGAAATGGTTGCAGTGGTGTTTTTTTATTCAGCCATGTGTCATTCACGTCGTGGGTGAGTGCTTAATATCTGCTTGAAGTTTGTCTAAAATGTATAATATTGTCCCTCCCCCCCGCCTGGGTTTCTGTATGCCCGCCACTAAAGGAGGGCGAGAGGGAACCTTAAAACAAGGTCATGCTGCACATCTCGAGCCCTTGTGGAATGGTGGGTGACACACTGGTTAATGCACTGGGCTATGGACCCAGCGAAATGAGTTTGATGACTCAGCTAAGGCTAACATTAGTATCAAGTGACATCTGAACTGGTCCAGCGTCCCGTTACCCTTCACCAACCTGCACTAACTTTGGCAGTGAAGTATGGGGGGGCGGGGGGAAACATACGCCCAAGGCCGACACGGTTTAACTAACGGCTTGAAATAATACTTTTATTATTCAACTCAAGTCGGGCTTTATGGGCTGTATGAACACTGTTGATTCCCTGTAAATTGTCACTCATGTCAGTGACGCTGAAGGGACGTTACGATGAACGGGACGACCAGCTGTGAGTCGAGTGCTCTATTCATCAGCCACTGGAGCCAGGGAATGTGGGTTCGAATCTCAATAGGGTCTTCTATTTAAAAAAAAACAATACCATGTATTTATATACAAGATGATGCATGTTTAGATATGCAATCGATTTATAATCGACCCTCTTACTTTATTCTCGATGCTTTTTAGTATAGCTACGTTGGACAAAGTATACTAGGAGATTTTTTAAAAGATTTAATACGTTTTCTTGAGATTGGTGAAAGACATGTAGAGGCTGTGAAATAAAATGTTGCTTTCTTTACAATTTATTCCCATAATTTCTTGGGGATATCTATAGATGGCTCACCATGTATACCCGGTGATAACAAGCATCACACACTATAGTTATGCCCATGTTTCGTGAGAAGTGCGATTGCAGAGAGGAAAGACAGTTTCTGGGATAAGTTTTGAACTGTTAATGTCAGGTGCAGCCAACCCTGAGATATTTCATAGTGCATAAATCCAATTAGATGCACCTAACAATGGCTCTCTGCCATAAGTAACAAACATGGGCAGCTTGGCAGGTACACATAGAAGTTATTTCTATCCCCACATGTTGGTGGCACTCATAGTGGTGCGAAAGGAGTCAACACATCTTCCTATTCAAATGAACATGGGGTTTCGATTTAAAGCTTTCGTGACTGCAGGGATTCATCTTCTTGGTTCTTTCGGTAAAGTCACGTAGAAGGGAAATAAAAAATAATAAAAATAAAACATAATAAAATTCTCACGACGTTTCGACCACAACACAAGTAGCCTTCCTCAGGTGAAGAAACAGAACTGTCGGAAAGACAGCACTCCGACAGTTCTGTTTCTTCACCTGAGGTAGGCTACTTGTGTTGTGGCCGAAACGTCGTGAGAATTTTATTTTATTATGTTTTATTTTTATTATTTCCCTTCTACGTGACTTTACCGAAAGAACCAAGAAGATGAGCATGGGGTTGTTCTTCCTTCCATTGATAGCCCAAAGTCACTGGTGGCAGGTGCTAGTGTATTATTTTAACCAAAACGATTGGCTTCCCACAAAGTGATCACCGTGTAATATTTCTCAGTTAAATTGCGAGCCGAGTCGAATCCCAACTGAGATTTGTAATCCACATATTCCAGCCCTCTTGCCACAGAGACACCCAGCTAGAGACAGCGACATTCCAGACAGTGACGCTCTGGGAGCACCAATTATCATTTTGTATGTGTTTGCTTGATGTATAAATGTAGTAGAATCAAAGTGGTTTCCCGCTTAATCGAGCGTGGAATGGAACTCATGTATACATACATCCCTTATCCACTTGTGGAAATTTTACATTAATATGGCATGGGCAAGTCTTCCCATAAAATAGCCTTGACTTTTCCACAAAGCACTACTGAGTCAACCCGAACGCACTCTACTGGCTCTACCCGAATGAAATAACGGAGAATATATTAGGATAATAATAGCAACATACCATGCAGTCTTTTATAATACTGTACTGTATTTCGAACATTTTTCAGAAACATTAACAATGAGCGTTCATAATAGCGGTTTTCCCCTTTTTATCTGGCAACAGCGTTCATGTCACCTTTAGTTCGTTCAATAGAACTTCTCTAAACATTATTTGCATAACAGTTTGAGATCTTATATTTTCTTCCTACTTAAATACACTCACTGAAATATAACCATCTTGGCACATTAAATACAATTAATTTAAGGCAATTGTCAGACCATTGCTGGATTAAGCCCCCCACCCTTTAGCATTTGTGTCGGTCGTGGGTGTCATTTGACCATAATTCACCACACCGGTCACTTTGACACTATGATGGGGGAGCCAAGAACTGGTTCAGATATCATTCAGCCATGGCCAGGTATGCAATTCATGTCAGGGTAAGAGCACAGCGTGCTAACCATGGGCATGCTGATGAATGTGCGGTTAAGCAGTTTAATTATGTAGTGTACTAAATATATCTCGTGAGTTAATACACATCAATGCTTGAATAGGTCTGTTCGTTTAATTATTTTTTATAAAACCAAAATGAAAATTATTGCACGTGGATAACAAGCACACTTTACAGTTATGTATTATGCAATTGGCAAAGTTAGGAAAATTAATACCGTTTACGCATAATTACTTGTGACTGCAACTCTACTAGCAGCATCTTCAGTCCTTTAAAGTAAGATGTAATTATTTCTGTTAGTTACATTATCAGTTTAACATGTAGGCTTTCGCGACCAATATTATTCATAATAAAGGTTTTTGGGTTAGATCGCGTTTATTTATAAATGTGTCGTAACCCTCCACCACCCGACACGGCCAATCAGCAAAAAAAAAGTGTCACGTTGACAAAAAAGACAAATAATTCACTACTTTAGCCCACCGGTGTGTTGAAGAGTGAATCCACATTTACAGTTTGAGTACGACGTTTCGCTGGTAAATACATCCAGCATCATCGGGCATGATGCTCATCATCGGACATGATGCTGGATGTATTTACCAGCGAAACGTCGTACTCAAACTGTAAATGTGGATTCACTCTTCAACACACCGGTGGGCTAAAGTAGTGAATTATTTGTCTTTTTTGTCAACGTGACACTTTTTTTGCTGATTGGCCGTGTCGGGTGGTGGAGGGTTACGACACATTTATAAATAAACGTGATCTAACCCAAAAACCTTTATTATGAATAGTTACATTATGTTGGTAGTGCTGCAGTACTGTCACTGATGAAGACATTAAATAAGTTAAAGAGCACTTTTTGGTGGAAAGACAAAGTTTTTGGTCAATATTATACTGTAACGCCATTTTTTGTATAATTACATTCTATTGAAACATGCAATCATAACAAATATCTGTCATGGTGGTTTAATAAAAACATAACATTGGAAAAGAAAATATAACTCAAAGTGTGTGTGGGTGTGTGCTATATTCAAATGTATGAATCTGTGGTTGAGTTAGCAAAATGCTTGCATATTTCAATGTCACACTGCAGACGTCAACTTGACCACTGATGGATATTATCCCAACCACAGGTATAAATTGTAGGATTGTAATCAAGCTATAGATGGATGTTTCAAATACTTTTTTGCAACCAAAAATTAGGTCGTTACAATTATCAATATGCATATCACTGCAGCACCAGCCCTTGACAGGAGGAATTGAGTGGAATAGTGAAGGGTATAATTAGGAAATGAGGGATTTGGATCCTTTCATCTTTACATGCAAAAGTAAATTTCATAGAGTATAAACCACAATGTAATACAGTTATTGAAATACTTTAAGTGTTGTAGCTTAACTGAAGTATGGCATTTAATTCAGATTGTGTCATTGTGGCTGAGGTGGGTCCATAGTGAAAATGACACATTAACATGGCAGGGGCCAGGCTCTTTATAGGGTGGCCACTCTTCAGTTCCCACAAAGTGGTACTTATTTGAATAATCTCAGTAGGATGATGAGATGTGTGAAATTAATAATGGGGTTCAACTCATCTCCTACGTGTACATGTGCAGTAGAACGCATCTTATCCATGGCCAAATTATGTTCTTTTATTATTAGAAAGTCTGAGCTGATCACAGATTATTTCTATAAAGAGCTTTCCAGAATTGGCCACTGTTAAAAGCAGTCCTCATAACCAATATAACTAATATTAAAATTCCTAAAATTTGATTATTTGTTCATGCTAAAGGATTAAATATGCCACAATTGTAAACGCTATAACTTAGTTCTATGATGTCTGAGGCTGTATATACGGTTTATTCATATATACACTATCAAAGGATTTTTTTACGTGAAAATAATTATTGTTTTTCTTTTGCAAGGTTGCACATACCCTGATGTCCTATAACTGCCACCACTGCCAACAATCTTGGGGTTTTGTCGTTCTTGTAAAAGAACTGAAAAAGCAACTGAGTCTAAATGGAGTGGAAAATTAATCCTATTATCCACATTTATACTCGGACAAGAGTCACTCAGAAGTGATTTTATAATATTCATCTTCATGCACATTTTTTTGTATCACGAATGACAGGAGTTGCATGGAAAATGAATCCTATTATCCACAATCCCTTTTCACGGAGGATTTTCTTTAAAGGAGTGTCACATATGTTCTACACCCAGTGACCCCCCCCCCCCCACCACATCATCACGGATGAGAGTTCTACAGAGCTACTTTAAATAACTACCTTCTACAGTAGAGCATCTAATTCACCCAAAGTCTACCGCTGACAGACACAGCTATGGATGAGGGTCGATCTAAGGAAAGATCGTAGTGAAATGTCGAGAAATTATCTGAGGCCACCCACCGACCACCCGTGAATGATGAAGAAGGTCTTAGCTGACGCATTGAACTCGCACGCATCAAGGGACACAGGGTTCTCCAGCACGAGGAGGCAGCCATCGTCCTCCTCACTTCCTCTCTTCAGAAAAAAGTTGGTGTTCGGTTCGGCTGGAACACCGATGATGCTGCCCATGAACGCAGGGGCATCTGGGAAGAGCTTGGTCAAGATGCCTGCATCATCAGAGGGGGTTATTGGGAAAGGGTGGAGAGGATTGAAAGCCTGAGACGAGGGAGCTCTATGAGATGTACAAATGGCACATGTTGTTGGGCTGATGAAGTGGCATCCCTGAGCCAGTACTGGAAATAGTGAATTCCCTTAGGCAGGGACCAATGTCTTCATATGACAACCACTGTTGACATTCTGCAAAGCAGTACTCATTTTAGTCACTGTGGAATGATGGGTTGTGCCAATCCCTAACCACACATCTAATTAACTAATTTTGAAGGTTGAGAATGACACTTGACTTGTTCAAGGTTATAAGGATTTTTAAAACCGTGCTTGTATCGTGAGAATGAGTAAAACCAGACCACAGGCTCGACGCAGTCCACCTTTACATGTTACTATTCCAACCGGTGCACGCCTGTGCTTGCCATCCTGTGGGGAACTGAGTGGAGGCGTATGGCTGGCAAAGTGATGTTATTAATTTCCTGTGCAAGGTAATATTGACCACAATAAACCAAGAAATATGGCAGCAGACGATTACATGAATCGGTTTATGAATATTTTAACATAATAAAACATTTCGATTGAAAGCTTTCGTAACTGCAAGGATTCATCTTCTTAGTTCTTTCAGTAAAGTCACGTAGAATGAGAATAAAACAATAACACAAAATAAGACAATAAAATTCTCACGACGTTTCGGCCACAACACAAGAAGCCTTCTTCAGGTGAGGAGAGACAGGTCTGTATGTCTTACATATAGACTTACGTACAGACCTGTCTCTCCTCACCTGAAGAAGGCTACTTGTGTTGTGGCCAAAACGTCGTGAAAATTTTATTGTCTTATTTTGTTTTATTGTTTTATTCTCATTCTACGTGACTTTACCGAAAGAACCAAGAAGATAATAAAACATGGTTTTAGAATTAGCAGTTAGTATCATCATAACTAACAGTGATACAAACATTGTCTTTGTTATCACCATAACTACTTAAACTTTCATCATCATATTAAATATACAGTACTCACCATCATCATGAGTATCTCATTAGGGGCAAAGGCATGGTCCGAATTTAAACAAATATGTCAATGCAATTAATTTTGATATCTGAAATATTTTAACACACTGACCAAGAAATCGACTTTATAAATAAAATATTATATTTCCATGGAAATTACTATTTTTGCAACTCACTTATCAAACATTAGTCATGATGATGGTATAGATGAATTTGGCAACACTTAATTGCCTGAACCATAAAATTAACCCATAAATGCAATCCTGCAAGCACTGTACATTGAACACTAAAATACAGGTCATAGAGTTTCACCAATTATAAAAAAAGGATTAACGTGTAAACACGTCACATATATTACTCAAAACTGCATGTACGTCATAATTGAGCCGAGCCATGTTTTCAATGATGTCCTTCATGGCTTCTGCAACATTAAGCATGGTTACCGGGAAGTACACTCAGGTGAGTTTTTTAAATATCATCCATGGGTAAAAACTATCACCATCACAGAAAACCTGACTTTAGAATACTACACAAACCTCTTTATCACAGCAATTAAATGCTACGCAAGACATTTTCACAGCATGTTGCCAATGTTAAAAATAAAATGTGGCATACTGGCGCAGCCACTACAACACAAGCATTGTATTTCCTTTACATTTTACGCAACACTTTGGTTTTCGAGCTATTTATATATTGTGTATTGCTGTAATACATAATAAATCATATAAATACGATGTATTTTCTTATATTTGACATATACCGTATTTTTATTAAAACATGACGCAAAATATATATATCGTTTTCCTTGAAATGTCTTTACCTACAAAGTTAGAATATTAAGACTAGTATTCCACGTTAATTTACACAATTAAAACTGTATTTAGCGTATGTACTCCCATTGTATATTAAACTATTTCCTGACAATTTCAAAAACGGACACAAACATGCACACATACCTGAAATTCCCGAGGCACTGCTGTTCACGTTTGCTGTCCCGGTCTTTAATAAGCATAACAAAAATAAACACACCACAGTAGTCCTCATGTTCATCTTGGAAATGTAGTCTTTTTGATGATTTAGTCAAATTCAAACGAATCGTTTGCAATGTATTGTGGGTTTTTTTGTATATCAATGTATATCTTATGGCTTGTGTTGACTTCAGTTAAGCAATACTATATCCTGTGTGACGCTCCGGGGATTGCTTTGCGTGATGTTGCAGGGTGAGAGCACGAGTGCATCTGACAGCCGGGCCAGAGAACTGTGGTTTTACACACCCACCCCAAGAGGAGAGGATCATCAGACCCCCATTCGTACGGGGCACTTGCTTTGGGGCAACGCTACCATTGGATTAGAGCTGTGGGTCTAGGGCGGTCCAAAAATATGAACTATAGTAACCCTCCCTGTGTGTGTTTTTTAGTTGATGCCAGTGTTGCCACGTCACAGGATTTACCTCTGAATGTAGAGCTTTAATAAAACTGCCATTTAGACAAGCCACGTGAGGGCACACAAATAGGACTTGTTTATACGAAACACGTTTGGAAACTAAAACGCACAATCGTAGAGCGAAAAGGGAAGAGAATACATACAGGGTATGTACTCTATATAATAATGCCCTTTACCTGGGAAAGTCACACTGACTTTCAATACCTTTTCAGGAGGGCCCCGCAAGGCGATGTTTGGATAATTTCTTTGTGAGCAGTGTTTGGCTTCTGGGAGGAATTTGAATTATGCAGTGAAAACCTATGCCTATAAGGTGTTAGTACTCAAATCGCAGCACGCAGCTTCAATAATTCATTGTTGTCCTGGCATCTCTTGGCCACACGTCACAGGTATCTGTTCTTAAATCATTAAAATGTGTAAGTAAGAAATTACCAGATGTGTTTGATGAACACAAATAATATATATAATAATTATATAATATATTTATATTAAATTTTCAATAGAAATCATTTATATTTATATTGCAGTTTTATTAAAAAAATAATCATTAAAATGGCGTTAAACAGGCACCACTCATCGGTCTAATAAAATTATACCACGAGTAAAAACATTCAAATATTCAGAACCCTTTAGATTGTTTTAAATGCTAGTCTTATCATGCAAACCAAAATTGAAGGAAACATGTCTCCCTGCTGAAATTGTGCTAATCTCCATTGATAGGCCTGGGTCAGTGATGAAATTTCCACATCCCCATAGAGCAGGCGTTGGCAACCGAAATAATGAGCTATTTTTTTTATTTGGTAAAAAAAAAAATCTATATTTCAAGAGGCCCATTAAATGTGAATGAATATAAAACGGTCCTCAATAAGTAGTATTTAAAGGGCTGCAGGTTGCCGACTCCTACCATGGAATATGTTCCTCTCATAGAACAGCGACCTTTGACTTTGCACACAATGGTGCTCGTTTCGTTTACCGTGGAGAAATGATCAGCAAATCAACCCCGAATCGGGATTTGAACTCACAATCAACTCATTTTTAGTAAATTGCTCTAATGCCAGTGCCAATTAGTCAGACTTTTTTATGTATTATTGGTGTACTGCTATGGCTGACAATACTATAGTGTAAGTTTTTCCATAGATAAACGTGACAAGTAAGCCAACATCGACTCCTTCATGTGACACCTACAGTTGATGGAAAAAAAGCCAATATTAAGATTGATTACAGATCATTTGAGGTCGTAGACAACGGGAGTGCGGTATTCGATATTAATTCTATCGATATTAATTTTATCAAACACAAGTAAAGTACTTAATTGGAGCCTAATAGAGGCGCTTCATTGAAGCTACACCTGTATGTATGTTGAACTTCTGTCGCATCGTACGTAGTATACAGTCGGTGAAAACACAAACCCACCAGTCCAAAGTACAGCATGCTGTTTTGCGTAAAACGTGTTGTGGAACGCAATCAAACCCGTTAAGAAATGTGCTCGCCTCACAGTGACCACATACTGCAGTCAAAAGACGTGGGTGTGTGTGTGATTTGTCCAGTTTTATGTCTACACAAAGAGTTATACAGCCGGATGCGTAGTCAGCCACTTGTTTAGTTTTACTGTTTTTCTTACGGGGATCAAAATCCACGTTCATAGAATGTTTGTTCCAAACCCATGTTCAAAGCAATGCTCTCTAAGAAGGCCATTAAGACAGTTATGTGGTAGAGTGTACATAAGAAGTGATTGTAGCAGGATATAGTTTGAATTTTGTAATTTTAAAATTTATATTTAATGTAATCTCTCTATGTTCTGAAACATTTAATATACTGATTTATTTATATTATAACAGTCTCCAGTAGCTAAAAGCTGAAACTGTTTTGTGACAACTGCCCAAAGGGGACCACTACAGTGCCTTCTTGTTTAATGAAACAATAGGCTAGAATACAGCACGCTCTGGTACCGATTAATGCTATTTTGGATACCATTCTGCCACATTTTGGTGGAATGATGACCAATTCCACATATAATCAGAAAAAGTTAAGAATCTTCAATTATCATTCAGCCAATTCTGCTGAAAAACAGAACCATGGCACAATTGCCAAGCGGTGGTGACGCACAACTGGAATCCAGCACTGTGGAGGCAAGAGTTGTCAGATGACATAAATTGCAGATCACACAAATGTTGAGAATTTTGCTTCCCATTCCCGGGCATTGCCAGAAAGTGGTATAGCAAAATGTGGACTAAGCTCTATCTGTGTGGGATACAGTATTGCCCCCTCGCACACGTCGGATTTATACAGGTTCTCGTGCATTGATTGGCTGAAAACATTAATATTTAGAGGACTGCGGAGCTTGGATAAAAGATAGATTTAAAGTGTGATTACATACTGGAATGTATTTTCTCTAGCACAAAAGCACCATTTAAATATATAAATTTACAGTACAATCCGTCATTGCCTATTTGCTATACATACCTGTTATACATACTCATGGACAGAGCTAAATGGAAAGCCATTGTCGCTGACACCTTTGAGAAGGGACATAGCACATAGACTCGTATATACCCAGATAAATATTATTTTAAGTGCCATAATAATACATGAATCCATGTATTAATATCTATGTTTAAAGCTCAAGATACATGTCTATAAATGTAATAAAGTAATAAAGGATGTTTTAATATGTATGCAGATTACATGCTGTTGCAATGCTACATTTGGGTTAACATACAACATTTTGTGATTCGTTTATGTGCAATGGATTGTGATATGGGTGTAGAGTTGTGAGTTGGGGAGGAGTGTCAAGTCTTGAGGATTTTTAGATTTGGACATGAAGTCTCAATAAATGCAAAAAAAAAAATTACAACGATAAATAAGATTTGATCCGTTTGGGTTCAAGAAAAAACTGGTATTTTGCGAATTTATTGCAGATTAATTTTGCTGAAAGGCACGCGCAATATTCGAGCGCCCCCTGATGGACAAACTATAATGTGAACACTCATTGCAAGTACGTGCAACACATCGGGATATTTAGGGATAGACTATAAAAGCATTCATATGCCGCCACCTAGCGAATCTTCTTCGATATTGTAATGTGCAAAGTAATCTGCGTCGTGGTGGAAAACGTAAAAAAACTTATTCAACTGACAATTCCGCCTCCACGTATCTGTCACTTCCAATAAAACAAATGTATGTTTACGCCTCCCAACAGCCACACCGCCTTCTGGGAGTGCACAGTGTCAGCAGAACATGTTTAAAACACTCCAACTCGGGACCGGTTTCAAGCAAAAGCCAGGCTTGCTTGAAACCAATGCTGGTGAACTTGGGACGTTTGATTTGGGTTCTTGTGTCTTATAGTACAAATCGCAACATTGAAAAATAATGATACCCTAAGGTTTCGATTTAAAGCTTTCGTGACTGCAATGATTCATCTTCTTTGGTTCTTTCGGTAAAGTCACGTAGAATGAGAATAAAATAATAAATTGATAAAATAAAATAACACAATAATATTCTCACGACGTTTCGGCCACAACACAAGCGGCCTTCATCAGGTGAAGGGACGAGACTGTCTGGTAGGACAGCGCACTCCAGCCACAACACAAGCGGCCTTCATCAGGTGAAGGGACGAGACTGTCTGGTAGGACAGCGCACTCCAGTGCTGTCCTAGCAGACAGCGCACTTCAGCACTGTCCTACCAGACAGTCTCGTCCCTTCACCTGATGAAGGCCGCTTGTGTTGTGGCCGAAACGTCGTGAGAATATTATTGTGTTATTTTATTTTATCAATTTATTATTTTATTCTCATTCTACGTGACTTTACCGAAAGAACCAAAGAAGATACCCTAAGGCTTTATATTCCAAAGCGGACGATGGGAGGAAGAATATTGTATAAAATTGTATATTTTAGTAGTATTAATGTAGGGTCATATTTTTAAAAGCTTTACATTTTGGGACTGCATCCACACCCCATGGAAGGGTTCTCAATTTGCCTCTGGTTATCTGACGTGGCTGTTCACTGTGAAAATTCTGAAGGTCAGTGTCTGTTTCACGAAGAGGCTGCTGATAGCACTTGTGGAGTATAACAGAGGAGGGGGGGGGGTGGAAGTGAAGACTTTTAAAAGACAAACTTTCTTTAAGAACTTATGTATTCAATCTAGGAATGTGTGCATTCATTAATATTTCATGCAGAGCATTTCACAAGAGTGAAAAGTTGAATTTCGTACCCACATTGTCTTTTCCAAATTAAGATGAGTTTAAGGGTGCATCATCTGTATGGATTTCGTAAATGTCCAACAAAACAACACCCTTGGCTTCCCGTGTTGTCGCACATCGCTTCCCCCGTCTATTCTCCACCGGGAAGTCCAGCGAATCTTGGTGTAATGAGACTCACACACACACAAGGGTATTGGTGCTCGTGTGATTCATGTTATGCGGGCTTGTTAAATACACGAGTGGGAAATGTGTCTGCACTTCAGCTTATAGCCCTGATTATCTGCTTAGGATATAATTATCTATCGATGGCCTTACCCAATACCGGCGTGGAAGGAGGGGTGTTTCAGTACGTTCTAAACCCGCCCCTGCTGGACGTCTGTGAAAAAGAGCTTTATAGCTAATCGGATTTCTTTCCGATTCTGATAGAGGCGGGGCACGGTCAGAGCTCTAGGCGGAGTGCTGCGCTCACAGCCAAGGTGTGAAAAGGCTGTATCTACCTGCTGCTGATGATGCTGATGATGAGGTTCTTTCTTATTTTAACAGACATTGTGAACGTGTGAGCTTCTGCTGGCCGCATTACAAATGGGAAACATCCACCACCGGCAGAATCTCCATACCGTGCCTCGCCACCGCCAGAAGTCACGCAGCGAGAGGTAACCTCTGAACCCGCGGACCTTAATAACCTCCCAACAATGCCACCTCAACCCAGGCGACGATGATGCTTGGAAAGCCGATTTGGGGGAATCGTCAGAAGTCGCACAAAAAAGAGCCTCGCGAGAGACTCCGACGCATGCCGATCCATCGTTCACGAAGCTGATGGGACTACAACCGGGATTCACGAGGGCGCACGAACGGAACATTTAAAACAACCGATCCACCCGTGTGCGTACCGTGGTCACCACCCAGAACAGAGAACCGTGGAGCAAAGAACGACTCCAATGTACGTGCAGTGTGTTGAACTTCGTTCGCAACCTACGTGGCCGACTGTGCTAATCCACAGCTGTCCACCCATACAGTTTAACCCCGTATTCTTGTACGGGGAAATTTGAGTTTTCAGGCCCATACGGCGTACAGCCGTTTCAATACGGGCACAAAAAAGAGATTGTCCATTTGATTTTTTATTTAAAGCTTTCGTGACTGCAGTAATTCATATTCTTAGCTCTTTCGGTAAAGTCACATTGAAGGGAAACAATAAAATAATAAAATATATAGAAAACAATAAAAATTCTCACGACGTTTCGACCATAACACAAACGGTCATCATACACCTGATGATGACCGTTTGTGTTATGGTCGAAACGTCGTGAGAATTTTTATTGTTTTCTATATATTTTATTATTTTATTGTTTCCCTTCAACGTGACTTTACCGAAAGAGCTAAGAATATTGTCCATTTGTTTGAACGTTGAGATTTATAAGGGTCTGAATTAGTCTGGAATAAGGTCGGGCACTGATAAGGCGTTGACGGGGTATGAGTACACACAACAACCTATTATGTAAAATTAAAACAAGATGTTTTTGTTGCCTATTTGTTTGTGTTTCTCCCTTGTGATGGGACTTTGTAGGATGAACGCTGAGATTTACGTGGGGCACGGGGGTGACCAATGCCCTCTGAATTGGTCTGTAATAAACTCGGGCCACGGCTGATAAGGGGTTTGACGGGGTATGCTAACCGATGCCCCCGGTTCACAAACACTAAAGGAGGCGTCCGTCAACGGCGGTGACACTCCGCTCAACAATAGCAACGTAAAATCGGCGCCCTCGCCGGCCAAATGCGCCGTCAACCAGAGCCGTGAAATAATAAATGAGGGCCGGGCCGGGTTTTAATTCACGGTTCGGGGCCACACGGGAGGGTTCGATCCGCGGTCCGGGGCCGCCCGCCGAACGGGGCGCTGCGCTTTATTTCTCCCATTCTGTCACTTGTCTCTCGGTCAAGTTCGCGGGCTGGGGGACGGACACTCGCCCGTCGCCTTTGCGTCTCCTTCCTCCTCCTCCTCTTCTTCTTCTTCTTGTTCTTCATTAAAGAGGTAGCCGGAATGGCAGCGCTGACATCGCTGCCCACCCGCACCGCACCCACCGTCTCCTCGTCCTCCCTGCCCCGTCGCCTCCCGTCACCGCACTCCGCTGAAGCGACGCGAGAGGGGCCCTGGCGGGTTGTGGGGGAGTGGGGTGGCGCCTATCCGCTCTGCGGAATTGTAACCGCGCGTGTCAATGCGCGCCGCGATTTTCAATGCGTTGCGTTCTGCCCCTTCCCCCCACCCCCCCACTAGCCGGCTGTGGGGTCGACGTCCGATCGCCGTCTTCGCCTTTCGCTGACGTTCGCGAGAGACTTTTATCTCTGATTTGTTTAAAAAAATAAACATACAAACAAATAAACGCGCTTGCCTCGGCGGGTTACGCGGCTTGCAAGCCGTTGCGTTTGAACGCGGGAGTTATGTAACTTTCTAATGACAATGCTGGCTCTGTCCGCCTGATGGTGGTGGTGATGGTGATGATGATTGCCGGTTGTATTTACTGGCGAAACGTCGTTACTCGGGTTGTAAATGTCTGTGGGTTTGCTCTCTCTCTCTCCAACACACAACGTTTTTGTTTTACTAATTGGCCGTGTCGGGTGGTGGCGGGTTTAACGACACATTTACGCGATCTAAACACCCCCCCCTCCAAAAAAAACCTGTTATTCTAATGACAAGCTGCATCTCGGGACAATAAGTTGCATACGATTGAGAGTTGATGCACATGATCATCTAGTTAAACAAAACAAATTCTAGCTTTTAAAAAATATATACCGCATACATTACAGACGGGGATAACCCTTTGAGTTTGTTCACTTGTTTTGTGTTCGTGAAATTCACATTGGGCTTCTCGGTTTAAGTCTTTTAAATACAGGGCCTTTTGCGATCTACAAAAATACAAAAGTTGTGAGCCCCATGCGGTGTATGCATTACAATTGTGGTTTGTGATACGTGAAATAAGAGCGCAGGTTACGACTGTGAAGGAGTCCGCTATCAGGTAGTGGGTGCTGAGATGACATCAACACTTGATACATCCACCACTGAGATGACATCAACACTACAGGTTCACTGCTGAGATAACATCAGCACTACAACATCCACCACTGAAACGACATCAACACTCCACATCCACCACAGACCACATCAACACTCCACATCCACCACTGAGATGACATCAGCACTACAACATCCACCACTGAGATGACATCAACACTCCACATCCACCACTGAGACCACATCAAGACTCTACATCCACCACTGAGATGACATCAACACTCCACATCCACCACTGAGACCACATCAACACTCCACATCCACCACTGAGAAGACATCAACACTCCACATCCACCACTGAGACGACATCAACACTCCACATCCACCACTGAGATGATATCAACACTCCACATCCACCACTGAGATGACATCAACACTCCACATCCACCACTGAGACCACATCAACACTCCTCATCCACCACTGAGATGACATCAACACTCCACATCCACCACTGAGATGACATCAACACTCCACATCCACCACTGAGACAACATCAACACTCCTCATCCACCACAGAGATGACATCAACACTCCACATCCACCACTGAGATGACATCAACACTCCACATCCACCACTGAGACCACATCAACACTCCACATCCACCACTGAGATGACATCAACACTCCACATCCACCACTGAGATGACATCTACACTCCACATCCACCACTGATATGACATCAACACTCCACATCCATCACTGAGATGACATCAACACTCCACATCCACCACTGAGATGACATCAACACTCCACATCCACCACTGAGATGACATCAACACTCCACATCCACCACTGAGATGACATCAACACTCCACATCCACCACTGAGATGACATCAACACTCCACATCCAATCTTTCGAGCGGGTTGACGCTGACTTTGACCTGTTTATGTTATCCTGTTCCATCTGGTCAGGTGGAACATAGCCCATTGTACCTGACCCACAATCATAAGGTCGAGATTTACTATCCTGTGCCAGGGTAAACTCAACCAATCATTACACCAGGGTCGATAAAATAAGTAACACCTTTGTAGTACTGTATAATGTAAAGAAATGGACCTGAACGTCCAATTCATCTCTGTCTCTGAATTGTACAGATGGAGTGCGAGGTGGCAACCCCAGTGCTGGAACCGAGTGGGGACTTTCCGGCGTGGCTAGAGGCGCAGGGCGTGAACGCGGAGGTGGCCCGGGCCATGGACTCGGAGCTGGGCATCCGGGACTACGGGGTCCTGTGTGCCTGCGTCGGGGATCGCCTCGTGCGGGCTGAGCTACTGGCCACGGCACGCGACCGCCTGCCCTTTGGCTACTACGCTGTGTTACGCCATGTGGTGAAGGGCCTGCAGAGTTCCGAGCCCCATAATGAGACGCGCTGGGACACCGACGCCTCTCCTGGCGATGTGTCGCTGGGAGGCCTCGTGGACGTGCTGTTTGCGCTGTTCAGAGGCCTGAGCCGAGAGCTGCTGCTGTCTGTGCAGAGGCTGGGAGGTGGTGGTGGTGGTTGGGATGGTGGTAGTTGTGGCAATGGTAGGTACTGTAGTGGTATTGCTGGTAGTGTTTATGAGGATTATGTATGTATGTTGAACTTCTTTTGCACCGTATGTAGCCAACCATGCTAATTGGAGGTGTACTAAGGAATAGTGGGAGATGTGCTGTCGATAGAACAGGTCAGACTTTCAAAGGACTCATACCCACATAGGCACGGCTTCAGTGAGTTTTTGTTCATTCTCTTTTACACGTGTGTCATTAAAATGAAAATAAATAATGTCTTAAATTAATGCGTGTTTACGCAACGCGTTTTTGCAAAAATGCGGTTCCATTAGGAAACGCTTTTTGCACAACACCGAACATGCCCGTTATAATCTTGATTTGAAGCTTTCGTGACTGCAGGAATCCATACTCTTTGGTTCTTTCGGTAAAGTCACGTAGGTATAAATATACCTATAAATATACCTACGTGACTTTACCGAAAGAACCAAAGAGTATGTCCCCATTATAACACGGAGCGCGCACCGTTATAACACGGTTTCTGGGCGGTCGACAACAAACTATTTTCTTAAGCTGCCCGGCTGAGTGCTATGACACAGTACGCGGAAAGATACAGAAACGCTACTGCATAGCCTCAGTTATTTGTTTTGCTATCTTCTTGTTTGTGTGTACATACATCGTATCTTGCCAAACTCTATTGTTACATGATTTATGGGAAAATAGTTTTCGCTGAACACGTTTTTCGCTTAACGCGGCACTTTTCAGGAAACGCGTCTGCCGTGTTAAATGAGAACTGCCTCGTAATGTATGTTGATAATAGTTTATACCAGGAATTATTTTATTTTATCACTGTGAATTTAACTGCAGAAATAAAGATTGACAGGAATGTAAGCACTAGAAAGAAGAATGAATGATTCCTGTGTTACAGATTTCCAGAGCCAAGTCCTACTCAAACTGGACACCATTATAGAAAACCAGATGGAGCAGTTATGCCTTCTGCAAACACTTGCGAACAGAAGTGTTGTAAATGAGGGCTTAGATGACGTCCTCCCCAACCCAATCAACAACACGGATGAACTTGAAGAGCTTTGCTGTAGAATTAGCACGGATGAAAACCTCAAAATTGAAATGGTATTTTACATCTAGTAAATGCAAAGAACATATTTGCTTTATATTTTAGACTACAAGCTATCTGTTTAATGTGTATCATAAAGTGTATGCTGTATTCGATATAGTAATTTTAAGAACTGCTTTTTTTCAAAACAGCTTAAATGTACTTCACAGATTTCCTATCTGAGTTCACTGGGTGGATGTAATATTCGGGACAGTGTCCGGCGAATGATGAAAAGGCTCGGCACCAATGCACTGTGGTCAAACTATAGCCTCAGAGGGAGAAAGGGAAAGACGCCCCTCATAGATCTTCCAGTTTTTATGGTGTTGACTAGTAAGTATATTTTGATTTAAAGCTTTCGTGACTGCAGGGATTCATATTCTTGGTTCTTTTGGTAAAGTCACATAGAAGAGAAACAATAAAAGAATAAAAAATTAAATTATCACGACGTTTCGACTGCAACACAAGCAATCATCATCAGGTGTGAAAACCACAGCAAGAAAATTTGAAAAAAGTGGCGTTTTTTAACGTTAGCACCACGGAGAACGATTTAGCAGTTATTCAGATGGACGAGTCCATCTATGTTCGGAAAAGAGGAGGGGGGAGACGAAAATAATGGATGCGGTCTGAAACCACCGTAAGCGTGAACAATCAATTAAGACCCGAAATGGTTTATCAAATCCTTCCAATGATTGCTAAGCCAGAATCCATCCTCTCCGTTGAAATTGTCTCTGTGTTTGTATATGTGGATAGCCTCATTTTATTGTTAACTTCTACGTGACTTTACCGAAATAACCAAAAATAGTAAGTATATGTTATAAACCTTGCTTTTTCCCTGTTGTCAGAAATAAAACCTGTTTCTCATGTAATTTTTATTTAATGATGCACAAGACTTGTGGCAATGACGTCCATACGAAAACGTACAATATTTATACGTATGAATTGTGATATATTAAAGTTTTATCGGCAGTCACTAGATAATTATAAGTATTTTTTTGCGTGTCTATATCCCAACAAGTTTAAAGTAATGATTGTGCAATCTTTCAACGAGCTAAAGTGTTTTGTTCACGTCAAACAATATCTAGAGCATAAAACAATTCTACGTGCCTCCACTTTTTCTACAGGAGCTTGCTTAAAAAGCTACCCAAGAGCAAAGGTGAAGGAGATAGAGGTAGAGATTGCAGAAACCCTGAAGCATTCCCCGAACAAACGAGGAGGTGCAAATTACAAGGTGATGTTCATGCTGATAGTTTATTTTTGTTACTGTTTAGTAATTTGCTTGGGAATGGTGAATTTTTCTGCTTTTGTTTCAGTTTTGACTTTCAGTCCTGTAAATGATTGCAAAAACAAGTCTTCACTGTTACATGTTCTTCAGACATCATTCAGTATTTAAATGTACATTTATTTGAGAGATGGGATCCTATCTTAAAGTTCGAAACCTTTTTCAAAAGCATTTTTCTTCCCCGTTTGAATTTTGTAGTACTATTTTATTCTCTTCCACAAACAACATTTTATTCCAGAACTAGTTTATGAGGGCTGTCTTTGCCAGGCAAAAGCTGTCAATAAATATAATTAACCTGATATGATTTTTTATATGCATCTACGATCAGACTTAAAAAAAATATTTTTCTGCAAAATTGTTTTACTTGATTCAACTTCTTATCTTTAAAGACGTACCCATCGGAAACTGCTCATTTTAAAGATTCCATTTTTATTAGAAAGAACAAAAATTAATGGATTTAATACCGTTTTCGAACTATTCAGGTTTGAACATAAAATGCATATTTTTTCTTCAAAACCACTTTAATCTGAAATATATCAAAAACAAAAGGTAGAACAATGGTTCTCGTTTTAATATTATTTGCTGTTTAACGCTCTATTAAAGGAAAAAATCGAAATGTTATACATTGAACGGTTTCTGAATGACACGCACTAACATGTTCATGGGACACTTAAAATCGAGATTTGGGGGTCTTAAAATGAAAAATCTTAGTTTTTCGGATTTCCCTGTTTGTGTCCTAAAAACTACCTATGTACCAAATTTAAGCTTTCTACCTTGTCGGGAAGCACCATAGAGTTTTTTTTGACATACAGATTAAGGTATATATAGAGATTGTATATATTTCACGAGAGAGTACGCTTTGTGGTAGCATTTTGTAAGTCCATTAAACGCTTATTTCTCATCCTTTTATAAGCCACATTATTTGATTTATCGTAATGTAATCTCTTAAATGTATTAACCATATGCTGTTTTTTCACAGGTAAACTTATGTTTAGAAGGTTTAACCAGAAATAATAGGAATTATTTTTTTACGAAATTGAATAAAACAGTTTTCTTTTATTTGCATTTCTCTAGAAACTAATTAAACTTTGTAATACTCAACGGTATCTTACATACTCAGTGTGTGAAAATAAATTTATTGTCCTAAAATGTATATTTAAATTGCCCAATACGTATTAACGTGCAAAAAAACTTTTTTGATACGTACAAACAGGCCTTGGGAATTTGCAGGTGGCTATTGAAGTATTGTACATAATACAGGTAACACATGGAAGCCTGTGTTTGAAAGTGTGAAAATAACTACATCTAGTTCACATTGTTTATAATGTAAACCTTATTCATTTCAGGAACCTGAAGTCATGACGATGAAGAATGACAACCAGCCCAGCCACCCCGTGTCTTCCTCTGACATTGTGGAGACACATGGCTCTTGTTCTTTAAAATGGCAATCAATGCAACATTAAAATACCATTTATATACGTTTTATAGCTAGAACTATATACATATTTTTTTATGGCAGTTAAAATTAATGACAGGAGCATGCCATCTTTAGTCACTTTTGTTTAAAGATTGTATATCCATTGTAACTTTGTGAGTTTAAATACATCTTTAACATGTTGCGTGCATTTTTCTTTAATCAACTTCTCATGAGGTTGTAGAAATGTAAAATTGAAACGTCATTCTCCAATGTTGTGGCAACGTATTTCAAAACATACAAATTAGCCCTGCCGCAATGTTGATGCCCAATGTTACCATACCGTAACGTAGCAACGGAGCAAAAACGTACACCGCCGCTTAATTACCCTGATAAGAGCTGTAACCATCGGAGGCCAGTAGTAGCTTTGGGTTTATTCTTCATGCGTTCAGGATCCCTAATCTGCTCATGATCATCAAAGGGCCTTCTTCCAAGTTGGTGGGTAAGCCTGGGTCAAACTGACGGGGCTGAGATGTGCGAGCGACTGACAAGCCGTCAACAAACATCGGTAGAGTCAAGAACAGAGACCACAGTCGCAGCAGCTGAAACACTGCTGGCGTAAGGGGTCGCCGGGACCACCAACCCCCCACAGACCAACCCCGCGTCCCCCTGTCACTTTGTCAGCGTGTGTCTGGTTGTAATCCACGGTCCGGGGGGCTTCCAATTCACGGTCCGGGGACCGCACTTGACCGCTACATTCACGGTCCGGGGCCACCGCCGCAGCCGAACGACCTGCAATAATTCCGTCAATATCTCTCGTCAAGTCTCCGCGCGGGGACATTCGCTGTCCGCCTTCATCGCAGAGGTAAGCGAGGCAAGGCGGGAGGGGTGTGGGGGGAGGCAGCGCCGGCGTCGTTGCCCTCGTCCCGCGCTCTCGCAAATCTCCGCCGCTCCGCGCAGTGGACGGCGAGCGGCGGGGACGCGGGGCCTGTGGCTGCCTGTGCGGTCTATAAAATACAACCGCGCTCGCCTGTGCTGTCTGCGAATTGTAAACACGCTTGTTTATGCAGACTGTGACTTACAAACGCGCTTGCCTCGGCAGTATAAACGCTTGCAAACGATGCAACAAACTCGGGGTTATGTAACGTCTAAAAAAAACCCCCTGCATTAAAAAACCCACTGAATTGCAAACAGTGTTATCGGGTGCACTGTCAAACGGGACCTAGGGAGTTGTTTCGTGCGAGCAGCTTTGCTTATATAATGTATACATTACAAACGGGTTATCACGGTTTGCGAAAATTCACATGGGGCTTCTCTGTGCGGTCACTTGCATACGGGCCATTGTGCGATCTAAGAAACAAATGCCAAGGTTCCGAGCTCCATGCGTTGTTATGCATGACAATAAGGGTATGTGGAATGAGAGCAGAGATTACTGCTGGAGTCGACAATCTGGTGATGGGTGTTGAAATGACATCATCGTTTTTATACGTGAACCACTGAGGATCGTAGCATCACGACACATTTCACCACCGGGATAACATCAGCACTCCACGGTAGGAGGTGCTGGAATCATGCCTGCATTCACCACAATACTTGTGGTCAGAATGCAAACCCAAACACATACTCTGATAATAATTGCATTGTCTTTTAAACTGATTGGTCCACGCCAGAGACAGATTTCTTTTGAGCCTCGTCCTCTGGTCTTAACACCGTTTTGAGACGAGGCTCAAAAGAAAGCTGTCTCTGGTGTGGACCAATCATTTTAAAAGACAATGCAATTATTATCAGAGTGTTCGTAAAAAGGTTTCAGTTTGGTGTTTTAACATCTTAACACAGCTGTTTTGTTGCCAGAAAAAAGGGGAAAACCTATTCTCATTCTTGCAATTGTCACTTATACCAGTGCCTTGCTGTGTGATCACGTGATACATCTGCCAAATGTTAGCAAATTCTGAAAAACAAATTCACATGATTACCAGGGCAATTCCTTATTCGCTACATAGTTTTTACTGAAATCACACATCGATTAAAGAGTTATTAAGAGTGTGTATTGACCACCCCTGTATATATGACATATACAATATTGCATATGATTACCAGGGAAATTCCTTATTTGCTACATAGTTTTTACTGGCAACAGCACCTCCTACATCGACCACTGGGATACACAAACCTGTGAACCCCTTATCAGTGGTCCTACCTTATTACAGACCAATTCAGACCTTTTTGGTCACCCCGTGCCCCTTATAAATCTCAACGTTCATCCTACAAAGTTCCAACACAAGGGAAAAACACATTTTTTGCCCGTATTGAAACGGCTGTACGCTGTATGGATCTGAAAACTCAATTTACCTGTACAAGAATACGGGTTAAACAGTATGGGTTGACATCTATGGCGATGGCTTCAGCACTTAATAACATCTTGACTTAAAGCTTTCGTGACTGCGGAATTCATACGACCGAGATGACATCGGCACTTAACACATCCGACGCTGAGATGGCATCAACCCAGTCAAGTGATCAATTCATACCCTTATTCCTTTGGGGGTAGATACAATTAGTACAATATTGTTGGAAGTCAATGTTGGTTATCCTGTAAATTTTCCGCTGCCATGTAAAAAAAAATACCACGGCTTCAGCCGCAAACAGAGATGAGCAGATAGACACTGACATGGACCTGTTTAGGTTATTGCGTTCCATCTGCACAGGTGGAACACAGCGTTATTGCACCTAATCAGAAGTGCGAGAATTAAAATCCTGCATGAGGGAAAACGCAGCCAATCATTCCAGCGGGGTTGGCAAAATGTATAACCCTTTATCAGTATAATGTAAACAAATTGACCTCAATGTCCATTCATCTCTGCCTCTGAATTGTACAGATGGCGTGTGCGGTGGCCACCCCATTGCTGGAACCGAGTGGGGACTTTCCAGCGTGGCTGAAGGCGCAGGGCGTGAACGCGGAGGTGGCCCGGGCCATAGACTCGGAGCTGGGCATCCGGGACTATGGGGTCCTGCGCGCCTGCGTCGGGGACGGCCTCGTGCGGGCTGAGCTGCTGGCCACGGCACGCGACCGCCTTCCCTTCGGCTTCTACGCCGTACTGCGGCAGGTGGTGAAGGCCCTGCAGGTCTCAGAGCAACATGAGGAGACGCGCTGGGACACCGCCGCCTCTCCTGGCGATGTGACGCTGGGAGGTCTGGTGGACGTGCTGTTTGCGCTGTTCAGCGGCCTGAGCCGGGAGCTGCTGCTGTCTGTGCAGAGGCTGGGAGGTGGTGGCGGTGGTGGTGGTTGGGATGGTGGTGGTTGTGGGGATGGTAGGTACTGTTTTAGTGGTGTTGGTGATGGTGGTTATGACGGTTGTAGTGAGGACTAGTGATGGAAGTGCTGTCAGTCGAACAGTGGTGGGGATGGTTTGTGAGTAATGCTAATGACATTGCACAGAACATTGGCCTACTAAATCAGTGTTTCATTAAATAAAGAGACTTCATTCTGTAACCTATATCAGTGAAATGTTGTTTATAAAAGGTTGCTAAAAAAGGCGTGACACTGGTACGCATGTCCAGTACTCGTTTTTAACTTTTTTTCCACTTTGTGGTACACATATAATGTGATCAATGATGGTTACGTTCTTCCAAAGCTGCACTCCTCAGGGTATAGACAAATGATTTTATTGGGCAGTGAAGTTGCCATTTGGTAGCAACTGTATGGATTGTGGCAATGTTGATAAAGGGGTGGAACAGCAGCATTGAGACACGACTATGCTTTTCAATTCAAATTAGCAAATAAAGCACAATCAAGAATACTGCTTTCTATATGGTCTTACATTAAGATTTCCTAAAATTCAGCTTCGCATGGCTTATTGATTGAACTATTCTCACACATCCCTTCGACTGCAGATATGTACTTTCTATATGACTGTTATCCAAAATCACCCTCGCAATACGAATTACATTATCTGGAGCGGTATCATCCCACATACCACTTCTGTCATCACAAACATGCTCACATCCTGAGTGCAGGCATTCTACACATTTTTATTAGACATTGCCATGATTCATACAGTTGTGACCATATTGCAGCTACATTTATCAGTACATTTCACATCTCTTTACAACCTCAGGACAAAAAAACATTTCACCATTCTTGCAATTTCATTATAGGACCTCCTTTGCCAGTGCCAAAATATGAGAATAGGTTTTCCCCTTTTTTCTGGCAACAAAACAGGTGTTAAGATGTTAAAACACCAAACTGAAACATTTTACAAGGAATCATGTGTGCATTAACCACAATACTTGTGGTCAGAATGCAAACAAAAAAATACTCTGATAAAGTCACGTAGAAGGGAAACAATCAAATAATAAAAATATAAAACAATATTTTATTGTTTCCCTTCTACGTGACTTTACCGAAAGAACCAAGAATATGAATCCCTACAGTCACGAAAGCTTTACATCAAAATTTATACTCTGATAATATATGCATTGTCTTTTAAACTGATTGGTCCACACCAGAGACAGCTTTCTTTTGAGTCAAGTCTCTGGTCTTACACCGTTTTGAGACTAGGCTCAAAAGAAAGCTGTCTCTGGTGTGGACCAATCAGTTTAAAAGACAATTCATATGTTATCAGAGTATGTTTTTTTTTTGCATTTTGACCACAAGTATTGTGGTTAATGCAGACATGATTCCTTGTAAAAGGTTTCAGTTTGGTGTCTTAACATCTTAACACCTGTTTTTTTTGCCAGAAAAAAGGGAAAAACCTATTCTCATTCTTGCAATTGTCACTTATGCCAGTGCCTTGCTGTGTGATCACGTGATACATCTGCCAACTGTTAGCAAAATCTGAAAAACAAATTCACATGATTACCAGGGCAATTCCTTATTCGCTACATAGTTTTTGCTGAAATCACACATCGATTAAAGAGTTATTAAGAGTGTGTATTGACCACCCCTGTATATATGACATATACAGTATACATTTTATAAAGTAGTGTTAGGGGGGTAAGAAATAATTAGCTTTTAACCAGGTGAACCAATACGGTTATTTGTTTTGCATAGTAGATACAGTGAGGGAAAAAGTATTTGATCCCCTGCTGATTTTGCACGTTTGCCCACTGACAAAGAAGTGATCAGTCTATAATTTTAATGGTAGGTTTATGTGAACAGTGAGAGATAGAATAACAACAACACAATCCAGAAAAACGCATGTCAAAAATGTTATAAATTGATTTGCATTTTAATGAGGGAAATAAGTATTTGACCCCTCTGCAAAACATGACTTAGTACTTGGTGGCAAAACCCTTGTTGGCAATCACAGAGGTCAGACGTTTTTTGTAGTTGGCCACCAGGTTTGCACACATCTCAGGAGGGATTTTGTCTCACTCCTCTTTGCAGATCTTCTCCAAGTCATTAAGGTTTCGAGGCTGACGTTTGGCAACTCGAACCTTCAGCTCCCTCCAGAAATTTTCTATGGGATTAAGGTCTGGAGACTGGCTAGGCCACTCCAGGACCTTAATGTGCTTATTCTTGAGCCACTCCTTTGTTGCCTTGGCCGTCTGTTTTGGGTCATTTTCATGCTGGAATACTCATCCACGACCCATTTTCAATGCCCTGGCTGAGGGAAGGAGGTTCTCTCCAAATATTTGACGGTACATGGCCCCGTCCATCATCCCTTTGATGTGGTGAAGTTGTCCTGTCCCCTTAGCAGAAAAACACCCCCAAAGCATAATGTTTCCACCTCCATGTTTGACGGTGGGGATGGTGTTCTTGGGGTCATAGGCAGCATTCCTCCTCCAAACACGGCGAGTTGAGTTGATGCCAAAGAGCTCCATTTTGGTCTCATCTGACTAAAACACTTTCACCCAGTTGTCCTCTGAATCATTCAGATGTTCATTGGCAAACTTCAGACGAGCATGAATATGTGCTTTTTTGAGCAGGGGGACCTTGCGGGCGCTGCAGGATTTCAGTTCTTCATGGCGTAGTGTGTTACCAATTGTTTTCTTGGTGACTATGGTCCCAGCTGCCTTGAGATCATTGACAAGATCCTCCCGTGTAGTTCTGGGCTGATTCCTCACCGTTCTCATGATCATTGCAACTCCACGAGGTGATATCTTGCATGGAGCCCCAGGCCGAGGGAGATTGACAGTTCTTTTGTGTTTCTTCCATTTGCGAATAATCGCACCAACTGTTGTTACCTTCTCACTAAGCTGCTTGGCAATGGTCTTGTAGCCCATTCCAGCCTTGTGTAGGTCTACAATCTTGTCCCTGACATCCTTGGAGAGCACTTTGGTCTTGGCCATGGTGGAGAGTTTGGAATCTGATTGATTGCTTCTGTGGACAGGTGTCTTTTATACAGGTAACAAGCTGAGATTAGGAGCACTCCCTTTAAGAGTGTGCTCCTAATCTCAGCTCGTTACCTGTATAAAATACACCTGGGAGCCAGAAATCTTTCTGATTGAGAGGGGGTCAAATACTTATTTCCCTCATCAATTTATAACATTTTTGACATGCGTTTTTCTGGATTTTCTTGTTTTTCTCACTGTTGAAATAAACCTACCATTAAAATTATAGACTGATCATTTCTTTGTCAGTGGGCAAACGTACAAAATCAGCAGGGATCAAATACTTTTTTCCCTCACTGTATTGGGTAAATTATGTGTGTGGTAATTGAGTCAGGCCACGTGGGACTGATCATAGTGCTTGGCTCACAATCTTCAGGTAAAAGCCTTCCTGGGGAAGGGCAGAGTCAGCCTTTCATGAAAATCACTTTAATACTGGTGATAAGTTGATGGAAGGACTGTCTTCTGTAATAGGTATGTGGAATTTACACCACTGGCTGACGGCAGCTAGTCTAGAGGAGCACCGGCCTATTGCTCCTTTGAGTACGGGGCTTGTTGGTGACCCTGTGTCATTGGTGGAAACTCTATATTCCTATGGCAGTGCCAGCATTGGAAGACCACTGGTAATTTTCTACATTATGGAACCAGTTTTATCACCCCTGCAATGAAACATGAAATTGGAATGAGGCAATCCCTGATGGATTTGAACTTGCACCCTTCCAACTATGATTTTTTAAGTGTAGTGAGTTGATGAGTAACAACTCAGTCTCCAATTATTTCACAACATCATTTCATACGGTTTGTTACTCAATTTAATATTTCAGTTCTGGGGACTGAAAGTCTTAGTTTACTGTGATGAGCACTGTAGACCATGTGGAAATGTGCACCGCCTTTTTTACCACTGAGTTATTAGCCCTATTTTAGAGGCGACCTGGCCACACATAATAGCTCAGCGAAGTGGCTTATCATCATATGTGGGAGTTCATAGTCGCCAAATAATCTAAAAACACATTTACACATTTTGAGGGCAAAGCCGGAGGACCCGGAGAGAAATCCACACGACCACGGGGAGAACTTAAAAACTCCAAATATATAAGTATCAGGGTCAGGATATACCTCAAGAACACCTGCATACCAGGAAGATAACGTTTCGCCACGTAGTGTGGATCAAAGGCTACTGAAAGGATGTCAGAAGTAGTTCTGTGACATCATCTCTTATGGCCATTCTCTTGACACGTGATGTGACAGTGCTCACTGTGAAAGTTTAAGACAGAAATGTATTCATCTCATGACATTGCTCGAATAGCACAATTGAATATTATTGGTAGACTTACGCAAGTATAAAAAACACCTTGAATATATTTGAAAGTATTGTACTGTTAAGAAAATGGTTGTTTGTTGGCAGGGCAAGTTGAAGAGGATCCAGTTCAGGCTTGGCATGAAATTAAAACTGAACATGAAGATTCAGATGAAGGTAGAAGTGTATTTTAATAAATGCAATACAGTGCAATACATTACATACAATTCACCACATTACAATGTTAAACAATTCTCTATTGTACTTTGTAATACATAACATTTTAAAATGCCACGTGACAGTATTATCAACTGCAAATCACTGCACTCATATACCAAACTACACTAATGCACTCCATTAACACACGACACCACACTACATGAATGCAAGGCACACTAATACACTTATGCCACACTAATTCGCGAATGCATTTTATGATGCGAATTCCCTCACACCACACTAATACAAGATACTTTACTAATATACTAATACTAACCTAAAACACTACGACTATCTTTATACACTGATGCATTAACAAACTTCACGAATGCACTAAACAATCACTTCACGACCACATGCCACTAACTCAAATCTAAATAATTAAACTACTGCACTAGCACACTACACGAACACAATATTTCACTACTCATATAAGACACTAGAAGTGAAGTCTCCATTGGCCACTGCTCACACTGAGTCAAGTAATAGGAAACACGTTCATCCTTATCTCGAACGTGTGCTCCCCTGCTTCCTGTTAACCATGTCAGCACTCGTGACAGAGCTGATCACAGTCATTTGTGCCAACAGGAATCACTCAAGTGTCGGAGCAGCGCGGGGTGAGACCCGGTCTCTCCAGATCTGAGATGGATGCGCTGACAGCCGGAATTCCTGCCCATAAACAGTTCGCTTGTAAGTGTGGCTGATATTACAAACCACGGGGGGTGTGTTGTCTCTTAAAGGTCTGTGAAACTGAAATCTAATAGTCAGTCAAAGTGTCTCAAAGGAGAATTGGTCAGTCCTCGTTGTGTTTGATAGCTCTACTGGTGGTGGAAATTGTACATACCTGTAATTGGGGACATTTTTCTCCATGAAGTAACTACTGCTGGACTACCCACAAGTTGGAACTCATGTTATATATTCTAGCATGGTGGCTTTAGTATACCTGTTCTGAAATTTGAACCATCCGACTGGAGTATGCGCTCTATTTGCTGACCAAATTTACCTGGACATACTCAAGTGATGGCAATGTGAGTTTTAGGTCATTATGATGTTGTATACCTGCATAGCTCCCATCATGCATTCAAAGTTGTGATGTAGCTTGGGTCATGTGGTTCTGACATAGTCAATGGTGACTTGGACACCAGCTACTTACATACCTGTCAACCCATACAGGTCTATACGGCGTACAGCCGTTCCAATACGGGCCAAAAAATGTTTTTTATCTATTTGTTTATGTTTTCCCCTTGTGATGGGACTTTGTAGGATGAACATTGAGATTTATAAGGGCGCGGGGTGACCAATAAGGTCTGAATTGGTCTGTAATAAGGTAGGCACTGATAAAGTGTTAACAGGTATGTACTTAACAGTCCCTTCAGCAGTTTATGTTGGGAGATCTCACCAAAGCTGTGATCGTGTTGGAGTTGCAATGATTGTTCACTGTGCAACTGTACGGTGTTTTCAGTCAAACATTCTCCGATCTACACACATTAGGTTGCACTTCAGCGTTGTCACTGGAGGTCAAGATGGTGACATGACTGAATATCGCAATTTCAGTCAAGAAAGTGAATTTCTAACTAAAAATATTCAACTGTGCTTCCAACTGGTTTCCAGGATATGTAGCCTTAGTGTCCCACTATATCAGAATCAGAATCAGAAAGGGTTTTATTCGCCATGTAAGTTCACACCGACACGGAATTTACTTTGGCAGGATGGTGCATACATTCAACATATAGGAATCTAAAATCTTAAATAAGTTTTAAACAAGTCTTACTATAATAAGGGTTAAAAGTCTAACACCAAGGGGCTGAAGTATATAAAATTAAATAAATATCGAATATAAAATAGCTTTAAGATATAATTTAAAAATAAAAAATACAAATAGGGTAACATAGTTAATATCGGCAAGGTGTCGTTATGTAGATCAAATGTTAAAAACAGTGTTAGCCCTTGGCCTTGTTTAACAGGCCAGCAGCAGATGGGAAGAAACTGTTTTTATGGCGTGAGGTTTTGGTCCTGATGGACCGAAGCCTTCTGCCGGAGGGGAGTAGCTGAAACAGAGAGTGTCCAGGGTGGGAGAAATCGGCCATAATCTTCCTCGCTCGCCTCATGGACCTTGTCGTGTGCAGGTCCTCGAGGGTTGGTAGATTGCAGCCAATTACCTTCTCAGCAGTGTGGATGATACGCTGCAGTCTGCTCTTGTCTTGTCTCTTATAATTGCAGTATGGGCAATGCATTGAGGTCTGGCTTTAAGACTGGTCCACTCAAGAGCATTTTTTTTTTTACAAATCAACAAAGTAGGGAGTGTTGCAAAAGGTGCTTTACAAGGTTGCTTTGTGTAGCATCAGGCATTTTTTTCACGTGGCATCAGCGTGATAAAGACAATTACTCAGCTTCGGGGTGGCTAATGCCTGTGTTGATACACACTGAGCCAGCACCTATTGACTTCCTTGGTTCAAGTCCTGGGGCTGGCTATTCATGGGGGTGATGCCCATCCTGGGGCACCTAGCCAGCACCTTTAAAGACCCATATTTTGTGAGGACTAAATATTTAGGTTTAATGCCTTGAGAGTTAACTCTCGGAGACCAGGTTTCATAATTTTTGTCCTACTTGAGACTCGACTCCAGATGACACATTGTCACTGAATCTATCGTGTTAAGTGTGCAGCACACGATTGTATATACATTCCTCACCATTTTGCATCGACAGCTGAGAATGCAGGAGGAGGGATCTCGGAGCTGAGCATCCAGGACATGGCAGCCCTGCACGTGCAAAACTCTCACCTCCCATACGACGATGACAACGAGGATGACGTGGCCACAGCCATAATGCAGCAGCAGCAACAGCACGGCTCCCAACCCCGGGCGAAGATACCGATGCGAGAGAAGGTCCGGCCCCACAAGTGCCCGCACTGCGACAGCCGCTTCTTCAAGACGGACGACCTGAAGCGGCACCTGCGCACGCACACGGGCGAGCGGCCGTACTGCTGCGAGGTGTGCGGGCGCGCGTTCTCGCAGCACTGCAACCTGAAGAAGCACTGGATCACGCACACGGGCGAGCGTCCCTTCCGCTGCGACGTGTGCGGGCGCGCCTTCGCACACTACTCCAACATGAAGGCGCACTGGCGCACGCACACCGGAGAGAAGCCCTACACCTGCGAAGTGTGCGGCCACACCTTCTCGCATTTCGGCAACATGAAGATGCACCAGCGCATGCACCACGGAGAGCAGACAGGAGATTTGGCCAATGTGGGGAAGGGAGATTGGGTTTCAGGATCGGTGTTGTCCTGAGATTTTGACCACCGTAAAAGGTTTACGATCGGTGTCTTGAGAACCATGTTCAGAAGGCTGGTTTTCAAAATTGGCTCCAGGATATGCTGTAATAGTATTGGTGTTTTTAGACTATTTTGAGAAAAATAGACCACTTTTTAGAATCTGCAACTTGCACCTTAGTTCCAGGGGAAGTGGTTTCAGGATCATGTGTTATGAGACTTGGCTCTAGAACTCAGTTTCTGGGTTCATGTTTGGAGACATGTCTTCAGGAGACCTGGTTTTAATAATGGTTTCTCAAATACGACTTGGTTCATGTAACCAGGTTTAATAATCAGTGTTTTGCCATGTTCAGGGGAGTAGGGTTTGATTTTTGCTTCGAGACATTATTTGGCACTCTATAATGTGCGCTTATTTCTCATCAATAGTAACTATAGCTGTACCCAGGTCACTCTTGCAAATGAGACTATCCTTATCTCTTATATTCTCATCTGGCTAATGGAAATAAAGTATACACTTGAAACTGTAGCTTCCCAACCCAGTTGCTTAATTACAAATACACTATTAGGTCCACTGAGGACAAGTCCTAGAGTTAAGTCCCTACCCTTCTCTCGCCTAAACACTTCAGTCCCTGAAGCTCACCGAGTTCTAACAGAATTCTTGAGATGACTGGCTCTGAAAAATAATATAAGGTGAATCTGACTACATTATAATACAATCACCATCATCATCATCATCACATTGGTGAGCGCTCAGGCCATGAATAGCTTGTGAGCTGACAAGTGCTTAAAGATAAAAGGGCATAATGAAGTTACTATGCTGTTCATATCGTGATTTGGCTGATTGGCATCTTGGCAGTGCAATATAGTTCGTATCTCCGCGTTAAACTCGACCCATCACTCAGGGATCAATACAAAAATGACTACCACTGTGGGAAGTCACTAGTGGTTGTACCAAGGGATAACTGGACCTTGTAATAGAAATGGGGAATATCCACCACTGGCTAAGAGACCCAAAACGGTGATGTGCACACTCCAGTTCTTGAGTATGGGTACACACTTTGTTTTGAATATCTTTCATGAGAAAATAGTGATATATATTTTTTGGGGTACATTAAAAATAGGATTCATGGATGATGAGGGTTTTGTGTGTAAGAGGATCATATATAGGAAGGGTTTTCCCTTCGTTTATTATACAGTGCTAGTATCACTTTATATCAACTTTACTGTTACAATTCTAGATTTAAAGCTTTCGTGACAGCAAGGATCCATACTCTTTGGTTCTATTGGGTAAAGTCACGTAGGTAAAAAATAAAATAACAAAAATCACGACGTTTCGGCCACAACACAAACGGCCTTCATCAGGTAAAGGGACGAGACTGTCTGGAGGACAGCGCTGGAGTGATAAAAGCCACGCTCAGATCACGACCTTTAAGCTTGTGATCGCGGCATCTTTTGAGGAAGGTCAGCGTCTCGATGAGCTGTGACTTGTCCCGTTGTCTGTTTAAATGCCGCGATCACAAGCTTAAAGGTCGTGATCTGAGCGTGGCTTTTTTCACTCCAGTGCTGTCCTCCAGACAGTCTCGTCCCTTCACCTGATGAAGGCCGCTTGTGTTGTGGCCGAAACGTCGTGATTTTTGTTATTTTATTTTTTACTGTTACACTCAATAGGAGGCCAATTCCTTGTTTCACTGATAATGAGGAGTGTTCATTATGCATTTAGTATAATACATAATGCAACTGAGAATAATAAACTGACCTTGTCATAAGAGTAAAACCAATCAAACTCTGTATTATAATTTTGGAAGCCCAAATTCAAACATTTTAGTTTTCAATTATTTTCTTGTGATAAGCAGACTCAACTATGTGCCAACGTAATGTATTCTAGCCCACCTACAATATACAAATTTACATCAGTAACTGCCGTATAAATGTATTAGAGATGCACATGTACTCAGACTCGAGGGGTTATGTTGGAATTGGTGTAGACAAAACACCTCACCACCATTAACACTGCCGAAATACAAAACAGCACGTTAGAGGCTAATGTTTTGGGCAATTGTTCTGCCATGTACCATAGTGGCAAAAGGTATTAAAAAATATATATCCTTTCCAGGAAATGTCCCAGTGCCTACTTACGAAAGATAGCAAATTCACAAAATTAGCACATTTCAACAATGTTTCTCCGTGCCATTTATTGCATGCACTTTTTGTTTTATGCTGATGCACTCTTTGAATTCTACTCCTTGTGAATGTCTGTCAGCTGTATTCACGTCCTGATGGGCCTATTTGTGCAATAGTGGTTTGTGCAATGGCTGTGAATAAAAACGTACTGAATTTTCTTGGCAAAATGAAAGACACCTCACCACCGTCATGAATGTTGCCTATAAAGAATACCAATTTTTATATATATACATATAGCACAGGACACAATCATTTTTCAGACGTTGAATAAGTTCCAGATGTGACATGACACCTGAAAAAAACTACTGGACCAGATAAGTATAACCTAAATTAAAGAAGCTGAACCAGTTGTTGGATATCAATATATGTGAATGTATACCCATACAAAATGTAAAATAACTTTTATATGTATATGTAATGAGCGACTTCCACGACTTGTCGTATAGAGGGTACTTTTATTTCTCACACTGGGCACAACACGACCAACACTGGTTCTTCCTCTCACTGAATAAAACTAGGCAATAACACCTCTACTGGCTACACGCACAGCCGATCACTCGGCATGGTCCCCTCTCCCTCACTCGTCTCCGCCGCTGGCTGGCGGCGTGACAATGATGGCGATGGAACCCACGCAGGAGACCTTCCACGTGGCCCGACGACGGAGAGAGCTGTCGGTGAACAGCGACACAGCCAGGACCCTGGACCTCACTCATGAGCCCCGAGCTCCCGGGCAGCTCCCCCTTATATCCCCCCAGGTGTGGCTAAGCCCCGCCTCTGGCCACGCCCTCTCGTGGAACCTTCGAGCGGGTTCCCGGAACATCTCGGCTAACCCCACCTGTTACCTTTGCCCTAGAATCGCCTCCTTCCCTGATTGGTTGTTACTTCTGTGCCCGTACCCGTGAATCCCTTCCCAGGCCAGCAGGTGTCACTTTGTCATGTCAGCAGGTGTAACCCTGTCATTACATATATTAATCGTATATAAACCATACTCAATAATGTATTTTAAAAGTAACAAAAACTAGATTTACTTTACACCCCGTTCTCTACCTTCAGTCCTATCTTTTGTCAGTTGGAATGGCTTATTCCCAGGTAACATATCAGCAATGTCTCCCCCTCATATAAGGCTCTCTGCGTAAAACAAATCCAAGTATTTCTTACAGAACTCAGCCACAGCACATCGTTTCAGCCGCATTCAGTGTACGCAAACTTCTTGACCGGTTTCGATACACAGTATCTCATCAGCAGTCAGGTTTGCTTAAATCGATGCTGGTGAACTTCTCGACTTTATCGGCAAGGGCCCTGTTTTTATGACATGAACAACCCAACACATTCGTGCACCACTCTGTGACCTTAAATATGTAATAGGCAACCTTACGGACAATGGCTCTTCTGTGCTATTAGGGTCATTGCCCGAAACGTTGCCTATTATATATTTACGTTTAAGACCATGGTATTTGTGACGAATACGGTTTGTGCAAGCCCTGACCAAAGCAGCCGCACCAAATCAAGTACCGGTAGAGGGCGCCACGGTGGCTAGGAGATGTTAACTACCTCGCCTGGTATACAGAAAGGTAGTGGGTTCGATCCCGACACTGACGGCTGCTGTATATTTTGAGTTTGCATGTTCTCCGTGTGGTCGTGTGGATTTTTCTACAGATCCTCCGAATGCTCATTCTACATTTAGAAACATGCGTTTGAGAGTTTTTGGCTGCTATACATTTTCACATCATCAGCATCTCCAAAACCAAGACCATGCTTGTGGCGCGGACTCAAGAGTGGCAGAGCGCCTCTTGATCTACGGTTAAGTAGTGGAGGTCGGGGAGTATTTCTCGAGGGATGGAGAAGGGAAAAGGAGATCGAAGCGGCCACCACAGTGATGCGGACCACGAACCGGTATGTGGTCTCTCCTCCCGATTCTGACCTACGCTCCTGACGGGAAGGACACGCTCAAGGGTGCAAGCAACAAACATGGGCTTCATGCGCAGAGAGGCAGGGCTCTCTCTATCTCTCTCAGGGGTCGGGTGAGAAGCACGCCTATCCGCCAAACTCAAACGTCCAGTCGGGCACTATTGAGCGTGGAGCGAAGCCAGCTACGGTGGATGGAGTCGTCTGCGAAGGATGCTGAAAGAACGACTCCTCCGGGGAGACGTTCGAAGGACGTCCTTCAGGCAATAGCCCCCAGAGGCCGCCCGCGATCGTGCCAGAAAGACCGGGGGCGGTGGCGCCCGGCCTAGGAGAGACGGGCGATCCGGGAGGCACAGTTGATGCCCGCTGGAGGAGGACAGGGCGAGGTGGCAAGGGCCTTTGGTGGGAGCCTCTGCCCCGATTTAGTTCGGAAGAGCGAGCCGAGACTGATTGAGATTTGCACGTGATAAGCCACTTCGTTGAGCGATCATTTGTGACCCCAAAATGAAAAAGAGCTGCTATATAGCGCAGTGTGGCCTTTTTTGGTGAAATAAAATAAATCCAAAGTTGGGAGATTTTGGGTTTCCCCACACTCCCTACAAACCCCTCGACACTTACGATGTCTTTACGACAGCGCGTGCGACGTTGTTGCTTTACGGCAGCGCGTGCGACGTTGTTGCTTTACGGCAGCGCGTGCGACGATGTTGCTTTACGGCAGCGCGTGCGACGTTGTTGCTTTACGGAAGTGAGGGGGTTGGGGGAGGGAGATGTACGGCAGCGAGGGTGGGGGCGTGATGCTTTTTGACAGCAGGGGTGGGGGGGAGAGTTTTACGACAGCGAGGGGGGGGGGAACTTTACGGCCCTTCTCCCTGCATGCACTGTACGGGTACGTGGCTCTCTGCGAGCGCTGACGTGGTGGTGGTGGTGGCGACATCAAGCGGAGCGAGCAAAGGTTCGGTGGCTTTTTCTTTTTTTACATTGTATAATGAGCCCTGAATTAAGTTAACGTTTTGTACTTTATATACTATACCGCGTTATAGTATTCATGCTGCATTTGTTCATTCAACCCCGCGATGCGTGATGCTGAATCCGTGCAGAGTCTTGGCACTGCACTCGCAGTGTCGGTTTGCGTCCTTTACTTAACCATTTCGGAGCCCCCCGTTTGAAGGCAATTAACCTGATCAACTTGCTTCGGTATAAAAAAAAAACAGTCATAATATCCACGTCATTTAAACGGTCGTGTATATAAGTATTGTGTGCTGATGCTGTCTTAAAGCTTGCAAGCTCCCTAATTAATTGCCGATACGTTAAACCATGTCGAGTTAATTGAGAATGATTTTATTTTTTTCTTAACCGTCTCGATGTAATAACCATTTAAGGCATGTTGCAATCGGTATAAAGATTGGCGTCCTTTTATGAGACCGCATGCGTGCGAGACCCGCTTGTGATTCATCATCGTCGTCGTTACTGATCGACGTAAGAGACCGTGGCTGTCAATTCGAGTTATTGACCTTTTCGTTTCGTATAAATGAAACTCATTGAGATCCGATATCTCTACATTAGTTTATTTGTATTCGATGGTCGATTTTGATTATAAATATTTTTTTGTACCGACGTCACGTATTGAACAAGGTTAGATTTATTATTCGAGGTAAGTGCTCATTGAGGCTTATTCGTTTGAACCACAGCCATGCGATGATTGTCTTACCATCCTTAATTTCAACCGTGCGTGCCATACAACTTCATGTTAACCATTACATTTTGTCATTATTAGGCTTATCCTGGAGGGTCCTGTCAAGTTTTTTTGCAGTAGGGGGCGATGATTGCTATGTATATTGGATTGCTCTTTATCTCTTTCTCTTTTACATCCGGTAATTAGCAAAAGAGTCAATCGCGTTGCATTATCTCTTGGTAACATGTGTTTAATCACGTGAGCTGCCATTGCGATTCGGTATCTTGGTGAATGCTTAATTTGCCAACATCAGCACATTGAAATATTATTGTTCTAGATTCTTAATTTGACTTAAACAGTAGTGCTGTGATGATTATTACAGTGTGATTGCATCTTTAAATTATAATTTAAAAGACTTTATCAATTTTAAAATAGTATTTATTCAGGTACATTTACATTTGTTCACTTTACTCGTGCAAATAGTGTACAGCAGAACTTCATTAAGCCACTCTGATATGGGGGAGATCATATTTGCGGATCCTGTAATCCCTGAAACGTTTTTTTGAGC